AGTTATATGTAGGCCATGTTATAGATTACTGAATTTTCAAAAGAATTAATTTAAATTATCTTACTCTATAAAACTAGATAACAAATATTTAATACAAATAAATCAAAACATAAAAAAATATTTGTTCCAATTTATTCGTCGCCGTTTCGTAACTTCTAGTAGATATCCCATTTAATTCTAAATGCATTGACTATTACATCGACAAGTATATTAAACTACAATAGATTAAAGATTACGAGTAAACCAGTAAAACACTTGGTTTAGAATCGTACTCACATTGAAAATCCTTTTAATATTTTATTAGTTATCACGAATACGATAATATGGCTGCCTAGATGGCGGTCTAAATAACTGATTCATTGGATGTTATTTTATATTAAAACACTCATTGCTTCATAACGTTATAATAAACACTGTTTGTTTAATGCCCCAACCATACTTATGACATTCCAACTCGTCAAAGTTAATGTTGTGATGTTCTAATAACTTCTTTACCATCATTTGCTAGCAGTGATGCAGTTCATCATATATTTTTGGTTTATTTTGTCAGTTGTTGGGCACAGTATAGTATCGTCTTGTGAAATTTTTTTATAGTAATTTTCTCGTATCAGAATGCAAGTAGTAGAAGACACAGTTTTGGTTGCATCAAAATTGATCACAATGTTAGAAGACACGAAATAAATTTTAAACAAGTTGACAAAGGAAACATACTGACAACAACCATCCATCCATGATACACATATATGTTAACATATTTTTAACTAATCTGTTAAGAAATCTTGTTATAAATGAGGTTTTGAAAGCAACTGTATATATCTACTCGCACCAGTTTAAACAAATGGCATTGCAGTATTACAATCTATTTAAAATTTAAAAAAATAATACAAAACACCATTTAAATACGGTAAACCTATTCGGCCTTATTACAAAAAGATAAACCTGGTTTAGCACTAGTAATAAACCATTCACCAATGTATTCCTTATTACAAAATGAAGTTTATCTCTAAATCGTGATTCGTCTATGGTCTAAAGTTAGACCTGCGATGCCCCTAGTTTAACAGTGGTCTAAATGCAAAAAGTCAAACTCCATTTTAAAAATTCTATTGTAAGTTGTAGTTTTTGGAAAAATATTTTAACTAAAATTAAAAATATATTAAATAAACATTTTTAAAGCAAATTTTACGACAATAAAAATATATAAAAGACGTTATTTGTTATTTTTTCACTCATTTGACTTTGAAATAGTCACCATTCGACGATCCAATGATCCAATAAAAATATCTCGCCGTTCCTTTTCTCCGTCCGGACTCCTACTTGTAATTTAAAACTGATTTTAAGCCTAATAGTACATTAATAAATATTATATATTAATGAAATAGTTATAATGAAGACATAGATATATAGAAATAAATTTAGTTTTAGTTTATACATTTTTCTTTGAACTAATATTATTTTTGATCTTTTCAGTTTTCTGGTAAAATGGAACGTAATTGTACGGTGACAGACATGAGTGACTGATTTCTGTATGGAATACATAATGAACGATTTAACTGTAGTACTAAGTAGTCCTCTGTTAGATCTGGATTCGTAATAATGTTAGGTTTATTCCAAGCATTAACTTTAGGAATGGTTTAAACCACGACCATCTAGACCACGTTTCGTCCGAGTTTTAACAGATTTTTTGTAATAAGACCGATAGAGTCTAGACAATATGCAATACAAAATCAAGTTATCAGGTAGGTAAAGCAACTTTAACAGCGTATCATTAGGTCCTCTAATAACCTCTTACAAGTCACTGGCGCCACATAATCGCATTTTAATAAAGTCAGAAATGTTGCGATTTGCTTGCAATTCAGCTTGCATGAACAGGTTCACATGCCCGATCGGTTTATTATAGTGTACCTGATAGGACATAAAATTACTACAAAGGTTTAATTGCCTTATTTCAAACTGCATAAAGCTTAATTTCAAAGGAAAATTCTGAGTATTTTACGCGATACAACCTTATAGCTAACTAATTGTTGGTAATTAGACGATACACGAGTATTTACTGCCTAACTGACTACCTTATGATGGTTGGTTCATTCATTTTATATGTTAGATAGTCAAGATCACGAACCATCGGCTCTATAATCACATTAAGCTGCATTCAATGTCCTGCTTAAGATATTATTACATTTATTATATGGAATTATTGTTTCTTTTATTATACATATTGTTTAATTATAATAACAACTACACTAACTAAGTTGGTAGTCTAACTTTGTACATTATCGCGCACAATTATATTTTAACTCATAAGTTTATTATTTACTATAAAATATGGATAAATCTATTCAGATTTTAATGTAACTTTCAAATGATATACCTTTAAAAGCAAACTGCTTATTAAATGGTAAGGCGTGTCCCAATACTTCATTGATTATTGTTTCTTAATGGCGTCTTTAATATTCTGACGATTGCGTGCATGTAATCGTTGTCATAAATTTTTATTAATAAAGAAAGCCGTCTCTCGGACACAAGAAAATATTTGAGCTGTTAAACATTACAATGAAATATTCTCGGGTAAAAGCACTGAGTGTACCATTTTACAGAATATAAATCGTGTTTTTATTACAAAAACAAAGGGTTCATAGAGATTTCTCAACGGGTTCACAGTAAGAAAACATCTTTAAATTGTTTGCCTTGTTTACAATGCGCGAAGGAGATCGGTTGAAAACGAGCGAATTGTTTATTTTTAAAACATCTCGATTCCCACGTAAATTGAGCAAGTTTATTTCTCCATCAAAGGTTTTTATCGCGATTAAATTAATATCGATTCTTTCTCGCCCATTAGTTAGCTTTATCGATTCGGCGCAAGTAATTTGTTGTAGGATTAGATCGGTGCGACCGCGGCGATCGGCCGATCAACTCGACATGATTGATGAAGTATTTGCCTTATTACTGGATTTGCCACCACCCCCGTATTATGGACTTATAGAAAATAACGACCGATGCGAAACTTACTTACTCATCGCGAGATTGCGGGTTGTTTAAGCTTGATAACAGCGTTTGATGTAATTCTGAAAGATTGATTACTCTGTTTTCATGGTTTCATAGTATACATTTATAAAATTAGGTAATGACAATAGATGAGGCAATTTATTAGTTTATCCAATTAATAATATTTACTTTTACTGTACTATATTTTGACCTATATGTATTATTACTTCCATCCTAGAATATAATAATAATAACATCGAATAATATTTCAGGATAATTCACACAGCGCCATCATCATTCATCCCAAGCTAAACAGAGCTTCTGTTTTAGATAGACAACTGTGTACATATAATACATATGTAAAACAGTCAGACCGCTCATGAATAAAAATGTTTGTACCTGGAGATGAATTGACTCCACGACCATCGGAAGTAAGGCGGTGTGCTAAACCGATAGATCACCGAGGCCGACTATTTTTTATTGTCATAGTCAGAAATTTGTTAACTAGTGCAATCATTAAAGCCAGAAGTTGACCATTGTAATTCATGTAATACATGAGGTTTTCCTTCGAAGCGATAAGTGCTATTGTCTAATTAATAATGACCAGTGGTATAAATTCAATAATTGTTGTGATATTATTCAAGTCTATAATCAACGAACACCATTTACTGTAAACTTAAAGCTTACCAGCAGTTCCTAGTCAAATGCCTAAATAAACGGATAAAATCTCATAGCCAATTTGATTCTTGTTATTTGTAGACAAAGCGAGTATTTCAAAAGACGACTCGACACTTCAGAGGGTCACTATTCGAAAAGTTTCAGTTAATTACTGTCGTACGCTCTATTTAACAACACTTTAGAACTCTAACGTCGACAGAACTTTACGAGGTTTTTCCTTTCACGTTTGGAATCTAGTTCAAAGTTAAACTTCATTTCGATCTTCAATTGTTATTAAATAAGACTCATTGTTTAAGCGAGAATAAGTGTACTAATGTATTAACGCCCTTAATATGCACGTTAATGAAATAATACTGGGTCAGTTGTGTGGAACGGAAATATGGATGAACGCGTAAATGTGTAATCAACCAATAATTCTTCTAATAGTCCCATTGTTTTGCTGGCAATGCAACTAACATCTATAATAATCGATAATGATCACTTTGTATTCGTTTATCATCATCATAACGTCAGATTATTAGTCTTCTGATAGGTGTAGATTCTCTCTCCTTATGACAGAAAGATTAAGTGTTCTTACTATTGATCAGACGATCAGAGATTTCCCTGTCTTTCATAATATATTAAACTTTGTTCTCTTATCGCCTCTTGAGACATTCTGAGAACGTAAAGTAGAAGTTGTACGGTGACTGGTAACACAAAATTACATTAATAAATGTAATAAAGCAATTTATCTTGTCAAACTCTACTTATATTATTATGTATAAAATCAATTACACCCTTAGGTTTCCTTAAAACTAAAATACTTTTTCAGTAAGATAATTTCTAATTGATGAATTTATTTCGCGTAAAAAGTCGTGTATATGCGTCTCGCCTATTTCAGCCGCCAAGTAAATAGTTTGATTTGTAACCTGTGTTTTAGGGTGATGATTAGGCAGTAAAATCACAGGATGAAAGACATTATATATTAGCCCTCTGGAATGGCAATGGATGAGTGGTATCAGTGGTGTCACTTGATAACGTGATATCCGTAGTGCTGTATATGTATGTAGGAGATAGTTACCGCTTGCCACCAGGTGGGCCGTCTGATTATTTGTTATTCCCAATTATTATTAAATAATCTTACTAAAATTATGAACATGGAAATTTGTGAATGTGGATGAATGAATGGATGGATGTTTGTTACTCTTTCAATCAAAAACTACTGAATAATTTTTAATGAAACTCTACAATAATATAGTTTGCGCTTCAGAACTCATACATAGGCTATAAATGTCACGCGGGTGAAACCGCGGGCACAGCTAGTTATATATAATTATAAAAAATATGTTATTTTGTTTTAGTGGGCGGGATGTCTCGCGGGGGCAGCGGAGCCGGCAAGACGGCTACTGCCAAGCGCGTGCCACCTCCAGCCGTCCCCGGCGATGCCTTCGGTACTCCGCAGCACAGACACTCAGGATCCAGCTTCGGCTCCCAAGGGTACGCCTCGTGCGAGGATCAGCCGTACCCACAACCTCCAGATACACCTTCACATACAAGAGGTAACATTTTTTCCACTATGATTTCTAGAAGCAGATACTAAACTATGTGCTTCTAATTACATACAATTGTGATTGTATGTATACTGGGTCTTATTATATGATCTATTATAGTCACCGTATTTCTATCAAGTACGTGAACATCTTTGTATGTGTGTGTGTTTTTTTAATTACTACTACAGTTGATTAGGATTATTTCGTTTTGTAAGAAAGTAGAATTAATCAATCTTTACAATTAATTCTAATAGAAGACAATAGCTTCAAATTTTTATAACAATTATTATATACATGGACAATAGAAAATATGGTCAGCCTAGATTATACTCTATTACCGTAATCCATGGATGGATATTTGCACAATAAAGACGATATTTGCTTGTTACCTCTGCTAAAGAAATCTATTAATTTTTATACAAAAATTCCTTGTTAGCTCATTATATAAATTATTCGTTCAAGCCTTTGAAAAAACTCTGACCGAATTCGAAATTTCTATGACACTGACACCCAATGTATAAAATTTCAGATGACCATTCAGACTACGGCAGCACGGTGTCTGGAGTGTCAGGTGTTAGTGGGGCCAGCGGCAGCCTTGGCAAGAGTCCAGCTGGCGGCGGCACATTCACCTTCCCACCACCGTCACAGCCGCTCACACACAAAGCTGCCGTGTACTACCATCACCAGTTGGCGCTCAGTGATGACCAAGGGATCGATATGACACAGGTAAATTTGTCAAACATTACTTGATGATTCTGTTTCATAAGCTTTCAGCGATTTTCGTAAATGGATATTCACTGTTACTGTTTATTTTTCTTGGAAAATCAGGGCTTTCAACCGACTATAAGATATCTGGAATTAGACGGTTGTTGTTTTTTACGAGATAGTTATAAAACGGGTACGATTTTTTTCTTTATGCGAAAGAGTTTTCTAGGATAATGGTTGATAAAAGTTATTTTAGAACGCGAAGGGATTCAATTTAATTGTAACGTCTATTTTTTATACTACGACAGTGGCAAACAGGCATACGGCCCATCTGATGGTAAATGATTACCGTAACTTATGAACGCCTGAAACACCATGGTTGTCACGTGTACGTTACCTATCCTTAAGAAACCTTAAGCCCTTCTTGAAAAACCCCATATCTACTGTAATCTCTCGAGAAAACCTCGTCTATGATTCTGTACGAATTCTCATAATTTTGTAATATCAAAATGGTACAAAACCTACACCCTTTTATTAATCGAATTAAATTTATTCTGCTGTTGCGTTATACAAATTTATTGTATTGTATTCAGAAAAACATTTTTAAGTGAAGCTTACAACAACCCACATACATTAACGAACGAACAGAAAAAACAATAATTGTATTATGTTGATAAATTGCCTCCTTAATAGTTTTTCTTATAATCTTCCACTTACATGTCTTGCGAGCAGTTACAATTTTACTATACTTATTTATTTATTCTTTTGCACACAAAATATTATACATGGCAGACTTAATGCCTAATAGCATTCTCTGCCAGTCAACAGTCGCGTTGATCAGAGTTAAGGCTCTTAAGTATGAATAAAACTATGTATTGTTTTAAATTTTATAAAAATTATATGTGTCATATCTAAGAATATTACATGTAATAATTACAGAGCCCTGGCCGCGACAGTCCCGGCTCGTCATCCGGCTCGGCGGGTTCTGGGTCGCGCCACTCCTCCGCATCGCTAGACAGCGGGCGAGCGTCCGGCCGTGGACCACACTTGCACCACGCGGCCTGCCACTGCGGGGACGCAGCTGACAGAGTGCGGGCCATGATCACACAGGGCTTACCTGTAAGTATTCTTCTTCTTTAGTTGTACATTGTTGGCAGAGTGGTCGTAATATCAGTGGATTCTCTTTGGTGTCCTCCTTGGTGACAGATACGAGAACATTGTACAATAGAATATTTTGTAGTCGTTTTTATAAGGTTAGTAATCGATCCCAAGAACGATTGCCCTCAACTGAACCTTCGATAAGTAATAAGTATAGATACGTATAATATGATATAAGAGAACGAAGAGTGTAAATTATAAGTGTAAGTTAATTAATATATAATTATTGCTACGTTTGCCAATTCGCGGTCTCCGCTCCAGAACACGTCTGCTACAGAGAACATCGGTTCTGTGACAGATATGAACAGCCCACTTCATTTTAATATGTACTAATATATACACACTATAAAAATGTATCCATTATTTACAGGACCCAGACATAATCCATGCTTGGCTAGCTGACCTGCAAATGGAAGAGTATGCGAGACTGTTCATAGAAGCGGGGTACGACCTACCCACTGTTACGAGGATGACTCCGGAGGACCTCACGGCGGTCGGCATTAAGAAACCCAATCACCGCAAGCGGTTAAAGGCTGAGCTCGCCAACCTCAACGTGCCTGATAATCTACCTGATTATATACCTGTTAGTATTTATTCATCAATGTGATATTTTTAGGAGTTGGAATGACAATAGGCTGATGTCCCGCCTGATGGAAAAATGTATGTCGCCTATCATTATATAGTATAAAATAAAGTCGCTGTCTCTGTCTGTCCCTATGTATGCTTAAATAAAACTACGCAACAGATTTTGAACCTTTTTTTTTTATAGACAGAGTGATTCAAGAGGAAGGTTTGTATATATAATACATGTACATCCGTGCGAAGCCGGGGCGAGTAGCTAGTCATGTATATAACAGCAAAATCAACATCTTGTCATTTTTTTAAGACCTTTCTAAAGCGCTTGGCTATAGTTGGTCTTTCACCCGTAGATTCACCCGTAACACCCGTGATATCGCTTTTGTGTTGCTATTCCTGAAGATAGTAGTGACATATTTTGTTACTCTATAATTTCAGTGCCATTTCTCACCCTAACTCATTCTTAATAATAACATTATAAATATAAATGATTGAATTACAGCTTGGAATTATACCAAGTAGATACGCCTATAAGAATTTTATACGGGCAATTAAAATTCCATACGGAATATTTAAAGGGGTAACTTTCAACGTGAATATGAAATATGAAGTGAGAACCTTTCTGAACAATTAACACAGCCCAGTCCCAAGTTAAAACTTGTGTTACAGGTACCAGAAAGCTGATTGAAATACCTTGATGCCTTTTTTTGAAAATACTTATAAAAATAGAAAACATAATATACATAGAAAAAAAACTCAGACCAATATAATATACAAATATTTACATCGTTCGAGGCATCGAACCTGCAATCATCAGAAATAAGTACTACACCGCTATACCACCGAGGTCCTTAAAATAGAACAAAACTTGCTTTGCAAACTGCTTGATGGCAGAAATATGTGAAACTGACGACATTATTGTCAAACCAGAAAAATCTTGTAACATTTTGTTTTACCATAATCTGTAATTGGCTTAATAACATTTTTTCAGGGTTCCCTGGAGGAATGGCTGCGACTTTTACGGTTAGAGGAGTACGGGCCCGCACTAGTGGCGCAGGGATACCGCACCGTGCATGACGTCACACAACTCGCCTGGGAGGTAATATATAACTATTTGAATAATGATCCTGGACAATTCATACATCACCATTTAGTACCAAGCTAAACAGATCTTGTGTTACGGGTACTAGACAACTGTTAGAAATAGTTAAATACATTTTTTTTGCAAATGCATATATAATATACACAGACAACACCTAGACAAATAATCATTCATCAATCATCATGAATACAAATATTTGTATCATGCGAGGAACGGTATCCAAGATCATCGGAAATAAAGTGGTGTTCTAAACCACTAGACCACCAAGGTCATTAATTATAGAATCAAAAAATCTACATCTAATAGGTTAAATTTTATTTAAAAAAATAATAGACAAACAATAACATCTAAACTTCAACAGTAATTGTATAGTAACAAACAAAAACAATACATTTAACTGTACAACTATTGTTTAATTTGAATGTTACATTTTATATTTATAATAACAATGATGCAACATAATAAATAAAGAATATCTTAAAACGTCCAATCTACTTTATGATATTAAATAAATATATGAATTGTCTTACAGGATTTAGAAGATATGGGCATAGTACGTCTAGGTCATCAAAAGAAAATATTACTGGCTATAAAAAGAGTGAAAGACATAAGGGCAGGCAAGAGGAGCATCAGTAACCAGGGCTCCATAGACTTCACCAGACTACAACCAGGCCAGGTCAGTACCATAAACAAGCATGGCATACTTTTTATTGTGTTTGTAGTGATGTTTTAGAATTAGTGTCTATTAGATCCTTTTTATGTAAGCGGACTTCAAAAATTATAATCTACGTTACATACCTAACCTAATAGATATATATTAAAAAATGCATTTATAATTTTAATATTTACTTTGTATTTTATAAAAATGTAATATTGTTAATTTTAATTGTAAGTTATTTTCTCTGTATCGATCTTTTTATTCCCATGATTGTCCGCTACCATAATGTTAGATCTATAGAATATATCTTGCAATTTTAGAAAGCAAATTAGATTCTCTAATTCTATTAATCAGATAATTATTTTAAAAGCATCACTTCAAATGAATTCTTTTTTATTTTTGTTAACATTAGTTTCATCACATGATCATTCATTACCACTTACATTAAAGAATCTTCACGTATTTCTTATTATTTACTAGACTATGAATTTTCAACAGATAATATAATATGTTCTTTGCAATATCTACTAACTATACGCTTATTTTAACAGAAAGCGTTTATTATGTAGCTTCAATATATTTTTTATTTAACTGAATAATAAACACATTTATTTTTATTTTGAGCCAAAAGGCTTTTGTTGTTACCTCCTACAAAGAAGCAAGCACAAATGTCGGCTGGATTTATTTTTTGCTGTGGCAATAAATTTGGAAACTTGGGAAAGTAATGTTATACAAATTGGCGCCAGTTTCAGATATGTAATGTCAAAATTGTTAATATTTTCCCGATGCGTTCCGGAACATCAGCGTTACCATTTCGCTTAGACTTTTAGAAGTCTTTGTCCATCGCCATTGTCGTCATTGTTGGGGTGTGCAACGATTCTGCGATTGTTATTTTAATATTATTAATATATATAAATACAAGTTCATGTATTTAATCAATTTATTTAAAAGAAATAGTTTTTACTATTTGCATTACCCAAGAACAGCTATGAAAAAGTATATTGTCAATTTTATCCAGAAAAATAAACAATTGTAAAGTTTATAGTCGCATTGTCGTCGTCACCCGACAGCCACCACACGTCATTCCGTTCCGCTGCATCCACTCATACCACCAGCCCGAAGCAGCATGTGAATGTTTTGTTTTCTTTTCTTTTCCAAACACAAACCGCACCTTGGACATAATCGACTAAAGGATTTATATCCGAGGCAGCTACATTACCAGCCTTGGGGGTCAGCGAGGAGTTACCATAAACCCCCCGATCTAACCTTTGACGCCCTACCAACGCCCCTATGTGGCACTGATTTGGTCCCTATACAGGTATGAGACAAACTCCTTTGGCACATGACAGTTTGTTCTCGATGCACTCAAGCACCCGCCTTTTATGTGCACTCAATGTTTGTCGTAGAAAGCGCAGTGTTGCCATGCGTTCGTGTGATTTTACTATTTATACATTCTGTGTGTTTAATGTTATCATTATTTTATAAATATATTATTGAAAAGACTTAACTAAACTTGCCTGCATGGTAGTCATTTAGATAACCTAATACAATCGCATGTATTTAAGCAAATAACCTAAAAGTAATATTTTAAATTACTGAATACTAAAATTATTTAACATTTTTCATTAACATTTTATAATTATTTTATAGCATGAAAATTACAAAAATACTATACGTACAATAACAAAACCGATCAGAACCGTATTTGTTTGTAAGTGTATTTATATAACTATTTTGATAATTTTGTATAAAATCCACACTGGTATAGCAGAAATCCAGTTTTGTATACTTGATTGTAATGCGTTTATTACTTAACAGATCCGTCATCCACGAGGGAAATCGCTCGAGAGCCTAGAGGACCCATCGGAGCGAACATCTCACACGACGTTCTCGCCCGACGCCGGGTTTTACTACGGTGGGGGACAATGGCGGCGATCGTACGACGATGGGGATATAACGCCGACGAACGACAGCTCGTATGAGGGGGGCGGCACGCTGCCCCGCCCGAGAGGACTGGTGCGGCCTAGGCCCGTCGCTAAAATACAAGCGACGCCCGCGTACAGAGACAAGTCACCGGACTATGCGTACGACGAGATCGCGTACTCGGCGAGGCTGCAGCGCGTCGCATACGGGGCGAGTCCGCACGTGGCGAGGAAACCTCCGCCCGAGCCTCCAAAGCGGCAGAGTTCACAGTACGCGCCTTTCAGGTCAGTATTTTTTAAGAATGATAATGGAATGATGGCCTCTCCTGGCAGAGGATGATAATAAGATGAGCCTGAGGTCAGCTCAGTTAGCCATAGGTATAAATTCATCAGGAATTTATAATGATGGGTTTCAGGGGAGATCGCGTGGAGGTCAATTTAATATGGTACATCACTAGCAATGGGGTTATTAGTCCACATCACCAACAATCCCCTTTCCCCCGTCAATCAGTAACTATGTAGTAATTTTTTTTATGTGATGACAACAATGAATTTCGTGTTACTAGACAATTCCTAATAGCATAACATTTTTCTCAACTTAATTTTTAATTGTTTATTTTCTTAATTTAAATTTCTCTTGTTGTTTTAGTATTTTAAATTACTAGTTCCATCTATTGGTGTATAGATGATGCACATGAACACCGCCATGACTTTCACGAAATCCTGACTCTTACTCATTACGTTTTCTGGGAACTGAGCTATCCTATATCCGTACATAATTTCACTAACCATACCCGGAACCATATCTAAGAAAGTGACCAATCCAGGTCATATTACTACGTAATCTAGTTCCGTAAGTATAATTGGAGTCACCACGGGTCCAGGTTCGGTCAGACGACGGTGGAGATCCACCCGGAGAAGAGCCTGCCACTGAGCCTGCCGGCGTACCCGAGCTCGGACTCTCTGAGCGTGTCGCTGGACAGCACGGGGCTGCTGCCGCCGCCGCCCGCGCCCGCCTCCCCGCCGCGCCGCTACGACGACGACAAGCTGCGGACCGGCTCCGACGCCAGCTTCAAGGTCATCATTCTATACATTTTATCGAATTAGGTCCTATCTTGCATATGTCCATTTTGCTACTTAGTGAATTTATTTTATTTTGTATAATTCCATCACAATTATGTGTGAGATCGGGAATGTTCAGTGCAGAAACTTGACTACCGTTACGAATCTTTCCGATGGTGATCAAATTCTGACCTTGTTAATGCTTAATTTTACTAAAGACAGTTAATATACATGTAGTATAACAAAGAACAAATAATGAATGAACATTTATATCTGTTACAGTCAAGTTCCAGCACAGAATCAGACAGTATCCCATTTGCGAACGAAAACGCAGGAACAATAAAACAAAACCGGGGTCAGATCGCAGGAAGACCTCACACGGTCGACTATGGACGCACAGGGATCGGACTCTCCAATCTGCCACCAAGAAGTACGCCAGATATCAAACCCACAACCCCCCACTCCCTTCCCGAACACAAAGACGAAGGTAAAAGCACTGAGCCGGTCGATGTGCTAAACGATATCGGAAATATGCTTGCCAACCTAACAGACGAACTCGATGCCATGTTGGAAGAAGAAAAACGCCAAGGACTGGCCGATTCCTAATACGGTTAGATTTACAATAAAATAATTTATACTCGAATACATACACTTTTGAAGTAATACAAAACTCCAAAGAAATCTGTTATTGGCAATCGATCGAGTTGATAATCCTATTTATACTTTAAGTTAACTTGGAGTCAAGACATCTGGCTAAAACAGATCTCGATAATGAAGAGACTCTTCCAAAAAGAAATGGCAATATCGCGATCTCCAGTTAAGTCATGCCATTCTCTCTGGAAGAAACTTTTGAGAAAATATAGGTACAAAGTAAAAAGCAATCAATGTTTCTTATACATGTTATATACTACAATAATGGCTTAGCACAAATTGCTATTCATACATGATCACACTTTGCCTTTGCTGCAAAAATACCTAAATACTATACATTTTACAATATCTTAGTATTTCTACCAATTACAAATTTTAATATGTTTTATTGTCATTTAAAAAAATATTCGTGAGTTGTTTGTTTTCGTTATTCTTTATTTAATGACGTAAGTTCCTTGTTATTATACATAACAGATAAATACAGTTTTAATTTCTCATTGGGATAATGAAAACTAGAGGTAGGCAAATCCAAAAACAGATAAAATATGGCTATTTTTGTAAATATTGTTTTACTTAAATTATGTCATAGATAAAATATATCCCTTGTAGCTAGTTTTTCATGTACAATAAAATTGTAGCGTACTCGAGTATGGTGTAGTATGGACTAGTTAGAATTTATACAAAAATATTAGCTTAGTGATAGTGTGAGAAATTAGAGGTTACATAATGTATGTATCATAGACTCATATAGATAGAGATAGAACCTCATAGACATTGTATGTTAATTCTTATATTTCATTAACATGTCCAATAACCGAACATTCAAATGCTTTCACATTACAATTCGATGCAATCAAAATAACAATAGGACTGTCGAGACTTGCTATGTCAACTGTCACGTGATCAACGATAAGTACGGTTTGCATTATTTATTTGAAATTATTTTGCATAATGTACATAACAGTTTTCTATACTATTTAACTTTGACTTAGAAGTACAAAGTTATGTAAGTAAGTGTTAAGAATTACTTATTTTGACAGCTGTCATAATATGGCGGGAAACCAGTTGTAGGGTTATTTTGACAACATTATCTATGAAATATGGAAATCGGAGAGCTTAACTTAACTATTGCTATCCGCGTGCTTCCCAGAATTGCCTAGACACGCTTTCTGTATATTTGAATTTTGAATTTATACGAAGTTCAAGTCATACAAAGATAGTTAATTTGTTCCATAATAAAGTAATACGTATCAAAGTGATATTTAGCGGCCATAAAAATATTAAACTTTTCGTAATACCGTAAGACAGTAGATCTAATCTTACTACCAAATATAAAGTATTCTTATTTCCACATATTATCTCATGTTGCATTAATGAAATAACTTCAAACCGTGCCTACATACTTAGTGATGCAATGAAATAGTATTGTTTATACATATCTGTATTAAAGATATATTTTATAAGAACACTGTGATTGTGGTTCGTTGCTGATCTTATCCAGTATTGAGTACACTATTCTCAGCGTGCTATAGTATGGTACAATGTATTTTAGCAAAAAAACAAGCAAAAGAACTATTTCTTTTTAAGTAATTGTCATACTAATAATTATTATTGTCATTTACCCAGAATCAATTGTAAATTATCAGAACTGAGTCTTCTTACCATACTATATCGCACAGAATATAAATAAACTATTAACTGTTATTCCCATATGGATTTATGCATCGTGACGTCATATTTTGTGCCGTAACGTGCCTGTATAAATGTCCATAAATTGTTTTCAATCGAACTATCTACACATTTTATACCTTATCGTCTAAGGATACAGAAGTGAATAATAAAGGCGTCCATTATTACATATATACATTTCATATCAGGTTTTATATAAAAATAAGACAATAAAAAGTAAAATATTTTGACACGATGCATAATTGCTAATTTGGTAGGAATACAAAGTTGATGGTAACACCGTATTAAGACTAGTATCGATGAAGGGGTTTATAGTAACTTATATAGTTGTAAAAGGAAATGTACAATACGATAACGACATACTAAAACACACTGTGAAGTATAAACTAAGCTTTATTCTGTAAATATCATAGACATCAGTGTTTCTATACGTTCTTTGATAACATTTGGTATTTAGAATTTTTGTATCATGTAAATGAAGTGTACTGTCTATATATTTATAATTAGTGTCGCCGTCACTCCATTATGTGACATTAGAAAGGTGCTAGTTATCTTGAAATACATGACGTAGATAACGCGGAATATAATGGAATACAATGTAATTATTTTTTTTTGTTTTTCGAACTAGTCAAAATTGTTTCTCGAGTGACGGCATCATAAAATGAAACAATGTATGTTTTATTTGTAATACTGGCAGCTTAACATTCTTACTTATTTTATAATTCAATTCTTATTTTAATAAATATATTTGTAATATCTACTCTGTCTATTATTTATGGTAATACCTTGGTTTGTATATGTGTAATATTATCTTGTCTGTCCTACTTTAAAATTTAATAAATGCAAATATAAATATAGAAATGTAAATTACTAAAAATAAATTTATTCAAATTTAGTCATAATTATATTTTCACGTAATTAGTTTTTTTGATAATTTATTTTCAAGAAATTCCGAAACCATGTATTGGTCTGACAGAGTATCAGATTATAATCCTTTAACATACCACTTTACCGCCAATGGTCCCGGGTTTGATCCCCACACAATACGAACATTAGTATTATAAGTTTCGCATTATTCTAATGCTTTGGACGCAGCTGGCTTTTAGAGCTTGGGCGAGTACAAATGGCACTCCAAACCTGCAGAAGAACTTATGGCGCGGCTGAAATATTGTAAGTATATATATTTAATTAAATAAAGTATTAAAATATTTCTATCACTTGCCTGTCTGTGATTTGAATACTAGAAATATTTAAATTAGTACTAGATGGCGCTGTGTAAATTGTCCTATTTTTTTTTATGAACATTCGTTTTTGCGATCTTCCAATCCAATTTGTTGTTTGTATTGGCTTGTAACTAGTTGGAGCCGTATTATAGCTCTTCAATAAATTAAAACATGACACATTTACGAGTCTGCTTCACTGGTCGCGACGGACGCAAAACTGCCCGAATGGCTTCATCAAATACAGTCTTCAAACTCTTTTGCGTCAGTGCTGAACATTCTACATATTTCATTGCGTTTATTTCCTTCGACATGTCGAACCCCTGCAACAGAATAAAAATTATTGTTATCAAAGTCTATTATTTATTCAAAATGTAGAGCATTGTTTTTTAATTGAAAGAGTATAAATCAACCATTCGTGACTAGAGACTAATATATCATTAACAATTACGTTATCGTGTAATTACACTCGCTGAAGAACTGTTGAAAAATGATCATGTTGCTTTCTAAAATTCAAATGGTTTTCAAAGCAAAATTGCAAAAAAAATTAATGTTGGATTAATGATTTGCCGCCTAGTATCTTTAGCAAAATGTACCACACCTGTGGATAAGTTACAGGGGCTTGTTTCCTTTCCTTGAGATAATCAATTGTTTCCTTGTCTTCTCGCAAATCAAGTTTTGTACCAACCAAAATGACGGGTGTATTTGGACAATGATGTCTTACTTCTTGATACCACTGAAATTTGAAATTTAGAAATTACAACACATGAAAATATCAAAATTAGAAAATATGGTTATATTATTTTTATTATATTCGTTACTTAATTAAAATTATTTATTTACTTTTATAATTTTTCTAATTGGCAGTTTGCATTCACCCAAAATAATTAAAAATGTAATGCTGAACAACATTTATTTGAGAAAGAGGCACGCCAGAAATTACGTGTTTCGTTCCGTGACTCTTTCTTGCTTGTTTCTCGATCATTTATAAAACTCACGAAAAAGTTTATTCCACTAAGAATATAAGTCTCCTTGCATGAGGGATAAGATTATACCCTGTAGTATTTATAAGGAAATTTTATTTACCTTAGCGCGAACATTTGATAAAGAGGTTGGATTGTCTATGGCGAAGCATATAAGAAAAACATCTGTCTGTGGATAAGACAATGGTCTTAAACGGTCGTAGTCGTCCTGTCCTGCTGTATCCCATAAGCCCAGATTGATGGGTTTCCCATCCACCATTACATTTGCAGAATAATGGTCAAATCTGAATTGAAATAAATGGGTAAAGATAAAATACATGTCCAATACCAAACAACATATTCTGTGAAAATTTCAAGGCTTGTGTGCCCTTGTCTACAACTAAAATATTAACGTAACATAGTTTTACTATATGTAAAATAAATTAAGAAAAAAGATGTAATATTAAACATACTTAATACTCACACTGTGGGTATGTATTCGCCAGGGAAAGCATTTGTTGTGTAACTGATGAGCAGACAAGTTTTACCCACGGATCTAGACAAGCAGATTCAATGTCATCATAATTAAGCAACTTACTTATTATTAAATTATTATTTTACAAAATATACATTTTTTATGTAACTAAAAAGCCAAAGTAGCTCATGGTTCATCTGGTGATAGATATATCGCCTACATAAGTGTACGAAGTACCACGCATATTACGTCATATGATAACGTGATATCCGTAATACTTCATGTTGTCTTTTGTTATTGCATGACGCCCGTGGTAACTATCATGCGTTAGATAAAAGACTAAGCCTTCTCTTTTTCAAATATGAATATGGAATGGTGCACCCGTCTGCGCTTATAGTTTACATTGGGGGGCACCAGTACAGGATGATAACATGAACGTGAAGTCAGGTCAGTTAGGCCATCGTGTCAAATTCACCAGAAATTTATCAACATGGTTTCCAGGGGGAACCACGGGAAAGTCAACCTGATATAGTACTTTGCTAGCAATGTGGTCAAGAGTCCGCATTACCAACAACCCCCTTTCCCCCCAGACTAAGCTTTCTTATTCAGTCATTTCACTGCCGTATATCACCATACAATCAAACCATGTTACAAAGCACGTTGCTATTCGGCTAATACAGGTCAGACAGACGTACCTACACTACTTACCTACCAAAGTCTACTTCTATAAGAATATCTTAATAAATAGACGACCCTGTGCACACAGGGTTATTCAATTGGCACGAGATAATCTAATACTTTTTGTAAATATTTGGACTGAGCGGAGATCGATAGACCCTCGAATAAATGAGGCTATGTACTAAACCTCTAGACCAGTGATTCCCAAAGTGATCTGTATCGACCTCCAGGGGTCTATGATAAACTGCGTGGGGTCTGCGACAACGGTCTTCTTGTTGTTTTTACTTTATGTTTTTAACACTAAACTTTACTACAGTTAGAAATTTAAAAAAAAATCAATACGAGGTAAGAATGGCAACCGACAAATATGGCAAGGGGTCTGTGACACAAAACAGTTTGGGAACCTCTGCCTCTAGACCATCGAGGTGATTCAGATCCATACATTCATTAGTCCTATAGTTATAATTATATGTAGTACATATACCCAATTACATAAACATATATTTATATAATATGTAACTTGATTATGTTTTTTTCCTTAAGTAGTAGTTACTCGTGGTCAGTTGCTTTAGAGCGTACATTTACATTGTAACAAGGAAAATCTACATCAGGGTTGCTGACCGTAAGAACAACCAACCATACGCAATCAAGATATATGTTCTTCAGTACCATTTCATTAACATTTTTTCAACAGGAACTAATCACTTAATGGATTTATATTATTTCTTTCTAAAGAATTTTGTTTTATATGCTATTATTTACCCTAAGTTTCCCCTGAAAAATTTAGCGCTGTATCTTCGGATATGATGAGCGAAGTCCTTTTTAGCAAAATATTTTATATTAGCATGTTGTTTTTGTTTTATTATGTTGGTGTGGCTGTGTGTATGTACATATTGTATATGTAAAGGTGTGTACATACCATATATGCAAACTGCCAATTTAATTTAATATTTTGTATTTGTACTGCATATTATTATTATACTAGCTTTTGCCCGCGGCTTCGCTCGCGATAAATTATCCCCTTAGGGGTGGAATTTATCAAAATCTTTTCTTAGGGGATGCCTACGTCATAGTAGCTTTATGCATGCAAAGTCTCAGCCCGACCGGTTTAAAATTGACCAAGTTTCATACAAACTTTCATCCCCTATTTTATCCCCTTGGGGGTAGAATTAATCAAAATCTTAGCGGATGCTTACGTCATAACATCTACCTGCATGCCAAATTTCAGCCCGATACGTCCAGTGGTTTGGGCTGTGCGTTGATAGATCACTATGTCAGTCAGTCCACCTTTGAGTTATATATATTTAGATTATATATTGTTTATACGCTACTATTAGCATGTATGATACCACAAGTAGCATTACGACCTGCATTATTGGTGATCAAATTCTGATCAATATTAAATCTGCACCCCTATAAAAGAATAGAATAACCCATAGAAACTAATTGTAAGAACTATTTAAGTAATAACCTTCGAAATAAATAAAGTAACTTTTTTCAAATATTTAGTAATCAATAGAATCACTTTTGTGTATAAATTATATGGGATAAGTGAAGAGAATGGATGACAACATTCAATATAAACCGATTCAAATTCAAATTCAAATATCTTTATTCATGCAGGTCTATTACACTCTTATAATATGTCAAACCTACCGTCAGTTCGGAATGATTTCGAGATGAGAAGAACTGACAAGAAATTCAGATCGTATTTTTTTTAAGTGTTGTGCATATTTACAATAATACAGATTCATTTAAATTCAAATTTGAGAGAATAGAGTGACCACCAGCATATGCTATTGAAAAAATAATATCTATATGATATTGAAGATCCGAATTATGAGATATTTGTATCATAATTGAAACTTTAAGCTGGCAACCATGATCAGAGTACCAACGTACTATGTATTATTCGTACAAAATACGAGTAGTGTTACGCAAATTAGTATATATTGTTCTATAGAAGATAGATAATTTCGTTTCAAACTACATAATGAAGAATCACTTTTAAAATGCCAACGATTGGTTGGTTTGCCTTATTAATATCAGGCTTTGTTGCATATGAAATCTATAGTAATCCATACAGCTATATTTAATATGACATATACCTTGGATCTGTCAGTCGGATTTCAAAATATACACATTATATATTTTACATTTTCTATTCTTGATGGAAGCCAATTCACAATTCACGCTACAACAATATTTTGAGATGTATTCTATTTATACCCGTAACAAGACTGTTATTAAGATCGTTAAGATTATCGGTACAATTGACGTGGACCCTTCCTTCCTTCCTTACCTGAATAAGGGATTGTTGATATGGTGACTAACGACCCTATTTATTGCAATGTAACAATGTACCCTGTCAGTTCAACCAACCACAACACGACCCTTCTTAGATACGTCGTGCTAAATTCTTCGTGAATTCTTTAGCAAAGCCTAACTGATATCACTGACATCTCTCATCCTGACCACCTGAGGACACAGCGCCTGATAGAAACTGATATCACTGACATGTGTCATCCTGAGCACTTGGGGACACAAGGCCTTATAGATACTAACTAATTAGACATTATTGGTCTTGGTATTAAAATAACTAACGATATATTTTTTAAGTGCTCTCAGTATTCTCTTCATTATTTTTATAAAAAAAACATGTAAATAAACATTACCCGTCTCCAACAACGACACATTTAATTGCTTGCATAATTGTCACAAAACAAATAAGTAATAAAATAACAACTTTAAAGTAATTTATAAAACGAATGACGTGGAAATTCAATTAACGTGCACTAACTTCATACAATTTTAGACTAATTCAATAAACATAAAGTAATGTACTGACTTCTATGTTACGTTATAGTTTACAGGACAAATATAGGTTACTTGTGACCTATTGCCAATAAGGAAAACTGATAGATGGCATATTGTCCTGTTAATAACAACAGTTGTGTCCAATAGAAATACAAAAAACTAATTATGTTGAACACTGTTTTAATTTTTTTACAGTTTAACAACTGTATTTACACATTAAATAAAGAACTCTTCTATCATAATGTACTCATGGTAAATATGCAGTTTATATCATCATTGCCTTCAATTTAATATTGTAACAAAATATTTCACTACAAATATTTTTACTAACGAAATCTTTAAAAAAATGTGAGACACTTTTCGAAGTGTGAACTAATGTATATATGTATAAACTGAACGGAAACCACAGTTGACCGAATAATATTCTCAGTGTTCTAGAGATTTAATAAGAAATTAACATTAATACAATTAAAACTATCAAACTGCTAACTGTATGTTGGAATTGTATGCACTGATGCTGCGTTCGTTCCTCGGCGCGTTCAGATTCCGCTCTCTAGCATTTTTTATAAGGCTGAAAACTGCATTCAGTATTAGTTGTCTGTTACAAGTATTGGTGAGCAGGAATTGTAATAAAAATACTTATTTGCCTCAAGTATAATTGCGAATGAAGACGACAACCTGCTTTTCAATTCATTTGATTAATAAGTGCCCCAACATGAGAATGAAATCGCAGTCGTGTGGATCCATATTGAAGTTAATTTAGATGATGACCATAATAACAGTATAGAAACAGCAACCACACTGTATAGTAGTGTTACACTATAATGATTTATTACTACTTACTATATTGGAGACACAGCATAAGCAAATTATTGTAATATCATTGTAAACCTACGCTATTTGTTATTTGATAATAACAACGTTTGTGGGAAGGGGATTGCTCGTAATGTGGACTGTTGACCCTTTACCTAGCAATGTACCATGTCGGATTCACCTCCCCGCGGTTCGCCCTGAATAAATTGCTGGTGAATGTGTCAAGAAGACTAACTGACCTGACCAGAGTGAGCATGAGCTCAACTTATTAACGTTAGCGCAGGCGCACACCATTCCATTATCATCCATAAAATAATAACAACATATATATATAAAATATATCAACGTGTACATTTATAAATCGCACATGGGTTAGGAACTCAAATGAAACCGAAATAACATAAACATATTAATATTATTTTCCATGATAGATATTAGGTCCAGTAACAAAGATATGGATCTCACTAATCAAAAGATATTAAAAACAAATGGCAACATTGGTAATAAACTTTAGGCATTGTCTTTAGTTATCTTTTGTTTTTATCGTTTGAAAACATATAAACATAGGTGCATACCAACATTTATATTTATTTTATAGGATCCTTACTTACTCTAGTTTTACTTCTATCATTATAAAACCGCTACATCTTTATAGGAGCTACGTATACAAATAACTTTATTTGAATACTATAATTTATATAAGTATTAAGTTACAGTATTGTAATATACAACATATACATGAAGTTATTAGTATAGTATCATAATATATAAATTTATACATGAAAAATAATGCAATTAGGTTTTTAGTATCGGTAGACTAATCTAATTATCTTAGAACCGGCCGAAAAGTTGTGCGGGTCTGTATGGATATCTTTTTTACTGTCTAACTGTAGTAGACTGTAAAAAGATGGATATATTGATAAACAGCTTGCTTTATAAGCTATTTCGTTTGTAAAGTCATATTTGGCAATGAAATTACTGAATAAGCCTCTTGATATCGTCCTTTAGATTGGCAACGCATGAGTATTTGATGTGTCACATGGTAACGTGATATCCGTAGTCTTGTTCCAGTTACATAGGCGACGCTTACGACTTAACATCAGGAAGGCCGGTAGCATATTTTCCATTTCAAATATATTAAAAAATGTGTCATACGGTCAAAACAGATCATACGGAATGATAATATTTTTCGGCCGTTCAATATATTTGATGATTTCTATGGGCCTGAAAGCATAACTAGTTTGAATAATTCTATTCTAGTTTAATCTAGTTCTTAAATTAATTACTGAACAACACATTTGCTGGGTCGCTTCCGAGGCTTTTCTGCGGTAGCGGTAGCGGCAGCCTCCACAAAAACTCTTTCTACATTCTTTTGCATCCGCGCCGAACATTCTATGTACTTTTTTGCTTTTATACTTTTCGCCATGTCGAACCCCTGTAACAGAATTAATATGATTGTGTCATCAATTAATAGTTTTATTAAAAAAATTAAACGCGTAAAACATAAAAAATGAAGGCATTGATTACCGCTTATAATCAGGCGGGCCATCTGCTTGTTTGTCATTCAAATTATATTAAAAAAAATCAAAGCTTAAGAAAATCTGGTGTAGAAATAAGTGAGCCAGAAGACAACCACGAGGACCACTGTATAAAGTATACGTCGGCTATTTCAATAGAGACTTGCTAAATAAAGTGTCTCTCTGGAATAGATATATCTATTTGCACCAAAAGTTACCTTTTGTGTATGATACAATATTTTACTTTCAGCCGCGTAATGTCGTACAGATTACGCTATTTGTATTACATGGGATTTCAAAATGTATTGCATTTCCAGTAATGTACAACTGTTCTCAAACAAGACCAAATGAAGTAGGTACAGCAAGATCGAAATCATACCATCTGATATGTTACCGGTGACTGTTTCTTTCGGTTCAGGTCCTCAATTGTTTTCTTATCATCGCGCAAATCAATCTTTGTGCCAACTAAAATGACGGGTGTATTTGGACTAAATTGTCTTATTTCTGGATACCACTGAAATACAAAATATACACCCACATAAATATAGCGCAGTTAGAACATTTTATATGTCGATGACGGCATCACACAATCGACCAGTGAGAAGCACCGCTCATCACGCAACACATATGAGCACCAATAAAAAGGGTGGATACTCCACCTCTATGTAATTTAAAAATTTAAAAGTAGTTGCAATAAACGCTTCATGAGAAGAGGTCACAAGTTTCATTTAAAAACACTCTTCCTTACCAAACAAATTAACAGTCGGTAGTATATTTTATAATTACCTTTGAGTAAACACTTTCAAAAGAATAGATATTGTTAATAGCAAAGCATATGAGGAAAGCATCGGTATATGGATAGGATAGTGCTCGTAAACGGTCGTAGTCTTCAGATCCTGATGTATCCAATAAGCCGAGAGTGTAGGGTACGCCATATGTATTTACTTCTGCATAGTAGACGTCGGATCTAAACACCAATAGATAGAAAAAAATAAAAAGAACGAACCATTGTATGATACAAATTAAAACTAACTGAACCCCCACTTTGTACCCGTATAACTTCATTTTTAAAACCGTCTGGAATAAAACAAACACAAAACCATAAGTCTGCATGTTCCCGACCCGCGTCCATACAGAACGTGTGTAATGAAAATTTTCTACAATTAGAAATTAAACTCGATGAATTTAGTACATAGGTTTAGGCAGCTAAAATATTAAGATTTCACATTATTTACTCAGATTTTCTATCAACAAGTTTGTTTTAGAAATACACGTAGTAAAACTCGATTTTTACCAAAGATAAGGATCTTTATACAAATTTATACCATAATACATTGAAAATCGCACCCAAGTTCATAGGAATATCTAGGGTCCAATTACAATTTATTGTACATCTACATCAGTTTTAGTTATTTTGCAATATAATAATATTTAAAAATAGTTATACATAACATAAGATGTTTAAACTTCTATTACACGTACCTACAGAAATAAAAGACTAAGTAGGTAAATATCTAAGTAATATTGTTGAATTAATAATGTAATAGGTATTTTAATAAATAAATAATTATAAAAATTAAATAATGTATTTTAATGATTAATTTAAGAATTAAACTCGTGACTTTGGCAATGGTGCTTATAGGTACATCGTTTTTTTTTTATTATATTAAACTTGAATATCTAATAATTAGACTGAAATAATACTCACACTGTTGGTACAGGTTCGGGGCTGTAAGCTTGTTCCACGAAAGTCTGGATCAGAGCAGTCTTAGCCACGCAGCTAAACAATACAAATTTTAATATCGTAACAATTAATTAACGTAACCGTGCTTAATTGTTGCAATTATTATGCATTTTTTATATAAATTATAAATAAGTATCGAAAATATATATCTGTAGGTCTTGCGCTGAAAAACAGCGCTGCAGTGATACAGCCGCAGCATTATGATGAGCAAGGATCTAATCGGTGGATGATTTGATAGACACTCACATAACTATTTCATGCAAACAAACAACATGATAAAAGCATTTCATTACTTTGTATGTTTTATTGATTATGTTCATTTTATATTAAGTTGATTGTAATCGTGAGTGTCGTGTGTTTAAACATCTACATAATAAATATATACCTACCATTTCATTTAATTTCTAACAATATAATTACGCGAATTTATGATAATGTTAATAAACTTTAAAAAAATGCTAAGGTATGGAGATAATGTTTCAAAGTATGTATGTATATGAATGTAGATTAGGTATTAAATATCTGAACCGATTGTAAGGGTGTATATAAAATATTGTATAGGTACAGTTGTAAGTTGTTTAAATACCTACACGTATCCAATAACACCTTACAAAATAATATTTTAAATACTGAATATAGAATGTTATACCGTTAAGGCTGCAAGTCCCTTGCTCTCCTCCATATAAAACGTGTTACTACATTTTTTTCTTTAATAACCAATTAAACTCGATGAAATTATGTTCATAGGATAAATCAACTAATATCGACGTATCACACTAGCCTGATAGTCTTTAAACAAGTATATTTTAATATTACACGTAACTAAAAGCTCGGTTTTCATAAAAAAAAGCATCCATCTTTAGCTCATTTGTATGAATAATCCAAGACAGTATAGGAATTTGAAAAAAAATAGAATTATTGCGCGCATGCTGTCCTCTTTAGTGATTGAAAAACTGTTAATCATTACATCGCACCTTACCACTCGCTAGAAACTGAAATACCATCCTGATCATCTGAATGAATGGAGGTCCTCCACAGTGCGGTATTCCAGAAACTTTTTGCCACGCACAGCTACATTGTGGCATCACCTTCCAAACTGGTATTTCAGAACCGATACGATATTGAAACCTTCAAGAAAAGAGCTTATTCCTTCTTAAAAGATCAGCAACGCATTTGCAATTCCTCTGGTGTTGCGGGTGCTCATGGGCGGCGGTAATCACTTACCATCAGGTGAGCCGCAAGCTCGTTTGTACCCTGTACTATAAAAAAATCTATGGATTATTGCTGCCTATCAAATATTGTTGTGATGGCATAGCAGTAATCCAGTAAGTACTAACATTTGAACAAAAAATATACGTTTGCAAATATAATAAACGTTACCTGTTTCCAACAAGGACACATTTAAATATGTATTCCATTTTCTCATAAAACAAACAAGAAAAAAACTATGTATTGTTGTATCGTATGTAAAATAATTTAGTATGTAAAAGTCTGAATAACATGTATTAACTTCATGAAAATTTAAAATAATTTAATTAACATAATAACTGATAAATGATATTGTATTATTAACTGACTTTAAGTGGAGTGAGACGTATAAAGACTAATTTCTGATATTTATATTATATCGTATTTTCAATGTCTATTTTTGGCAATACTGTTATTATATACATGAATAATATATATGAATAATATACATGAATAATATACATATTTAAATGATAGCGAGCTGCTATAATAACTGTGATTAATTCATGATTATTTTATTTTCCTTTATTTTTAAAAGGCAACGGTCTAACCCTATACAGCCAAACCAACGTCATTCATTGATAGATTGACACACCAGTACATCGTCGCAAGAAAGATGAACTGACAGCTTAAATGAGACAAATGACAAATTTCTGTTGTCATGTCATCGGGCTCATCGAATGTCTTGAAGACGATCAATAACATAAATTGGTTTCGTTTTCAGAGTCTTCGGAGTTCGTAATCTCGTCCATCCATTGATGGACTGTTAAGTTTTGTGTAGTAATTGTTAAATTATATATTTTATCTCGTGAAAATGGATACAACTGGTGCTTACGGTGGAGGAAAGGCTGGCGGGGCTTTCGATCCCCAAGCATTCATCCAGAGGCCACCCGTGATTGTAAGGGCGGTTTGTTGGGTAAGGAAAATATCAGTATTTTGAAATATTATACTTGTCAAATAATATGGCAGTGTTAAGTAAATAAATAAAATCTCGATTATTAAGTAATTATTACTCACTATAAATTTTAATAGATCAGTTCATCGTTATTGAGCCTATTTCTCTATGCTATATATTAGCTCTCATTTTTACTATGCTAAATTTACCCTCGACAGTATAATGCATTACTCTGACATAATTAACACCTTAATTCTTACTGGCCTTGAAATTATGTATAATATACTATGTATATATACATTCCTTCTTATATACACTGTTATGTTGATAAGGTAAGTACTACAGTGTAATTACTTTAATTATATATATTCAATATAAGTAAAATACATAAATATTGTTAACTATAAAAGAAAAGTAATTAAATTGATATTACAAATGTACTATTTGTAATCTTATTCACCTAGTTGTGTACTCTATAAATAGTATAAAATAAAGTGACTGATGTCATGTTTCTCAGATTAGTTTTTTTTAAACCATTCTATTTTCACTGCATTTTTTTCTGGAAGGTACTACATGTATAGTATGCATATAATTACATAACCTTCATCATGAACTACATACAATTGTACATCAGCAACTGCACTGGCTTGCTAGTTATTCTAATAGAAAGAATACAATTATAGAATTGGGGTCTATAAAATATTGTATAATCTGATATACAAAAATTTAATTTGAGTTGTGCTTTTGTTAACTTAATGATTTTATATATCTAAGGTATGAGAAATATATACATTATACAATATATAAAATACCGCTATGTACTGTATGTGTATATATACCATACTCCATATGAAAGGTAATCTAATAAAATGTTCCTATGGTACAGAGATAATAAACACAAGAAGAATTCATACCGACTAATATTTTTCTTATGTGCCTGTAATAAAAATATTTAAGGAAAGCCATTCTTATACTTATGATGCTTGTATGAGGATCATCAATCTAGTAAGCTGTAAAAAGATGTCGTCCAGATAAAATGTTAAGCTTATTTTCTGGTATGAAGAAAAAATATATACGAAAATAGTTCTGCCTATATAAATACATTATTCATGTATATTAAGCAACAATGCCTATGCTAGTCATAGACTATGTAATATAAAAACAAATAAAAGTAGCTATAACAGTAAGATTTTATTTCAATCAACATAAAGTAGAGAGTAAACTCTTTTATTGGTATAACTAATATCTGAATTCACGGAAATAATTTAGCAGCATACAAAAAACAATTTTAACTACTTAGTTAAGTTACTTTAAAAAGTAGGGGTTAAAATTCAAACAATATTTAAACATGATTGTAAATGTATAAAAACAACAATGTATGTTGTGGTTTGAATTGTTTGTCCTTGACTTCATGCCCTGATAATTTTTTACTATTGTATTGGTACTATCATAGTACCAATACAATAGTAAAAAATTATCAATAAAATTATAATAAAATTATTATAATAATATAAAATTATTCAATGACTAAGTTATTATTGTCTATTAAAGTAGGTAACAAAAGTTCAACTCAACCATTTGTTTTCAAATTCAAAATATCTTTATTAATGTAGGTCTATTACAGGCTCTTATGATATGTCAAATCTACTGTTGGAATTGTTCGGAATGATTTTGAGATGAGAAGAACTGACAAGAAACTGAACTCATTTTATTATGATTATTGGAGTCCTGAAAGAAAAATAGTTGTGAATGAATTTGTTTCCAATAAAATCAGCAACTAAATATACTAGACAGTTACTTATTGTACTTCAAGTGGTACCACTATAATAATACTATATTACACCCCATCTTCAATGTATGTTCATATAAAGCAACTAGGGACAGAAAATGTTAAGAAAATAAAGAAAGATTAAATCAGGCCTCTATTCTTGACTATGTATACATTGGATGGTTGGTGGCTCCTGCCCAATACTGATTTTCTTAGTAATTGGTATATATTTAATGACAATACTAAATACTATAGGTATAAATGTATAGCCTAGAATAGGTGTATATATATATATATTGTAATGTAGGATTATCTAGAATATCTAGAAATCTAATCCGCGACCATAGGAAGAAAAGCAGTGTATTAAACCGTTGTGCTACCGGGGCCGTCGTTTCATATATACTATGGTAATATATTTTTTTTAATCGCCAGTTATTCAGCGTGATAGTGATGGGCTGCATATCAGCCAAGGGTTGGTACATCGACAAAGCAGACAACAAAGAATACTGCGTCTACAACAAAGACACGAACGCCTGTAATTACGGTGTCGGAATATCGGTGATAGCTTTCATCGCATCTATCGGATTCATCGCAGGCGAATATCTCTTCGAACAAATGTCCTCGGTGAAGACAAGGAAGCACTATGTTTTGGCTGATATGGGATTCTCTGGTCAGTATCTTTTTAAGAAATTAATTGCTTCTTCTTTTATATGTATATACTATATTGGACGGAATTGGCTTTCGAGTTTACCGAGAAGTTTTCCGGAACTGGGTTACCTATTTGGAAAGCTAAGGCTAAATGTATTATATATAGTCATTAATATAGACATTGTACTGATGTATTTGTTAATAAAGATTATTATAATTATAGAATCTAAATAATCAGGTAAAATAGCATTTACAGTGAATGTCAAAATCTTTTATACTGAAAAAATCTCTAAAAGCCGTCATAATTTTAATCATATTGATTACCTTCTATCCTATTCGTTTTATTTGAGAAGAACTGAAAAGAAACTCAATGGTACATTTATTTTATGATAAAATTCGCTTATTTACACCTAGATTTACATGATTAATCAAATTCTATAAATCAATACTTACGAATCTCTAAATATTATTACTTGATGTAAGTATATGAAGTATATATCTGGTAACATAGGCTGTATGTCACACGGACAATGCTACGGTATACAACTAGTTTATGCTACTATTATAAATGTGAAAGTCTGTCTGTTAATTAAACGACTGAAAAAAATCTCTATGAAGTTTGACATGAAAATACACTGTATCATAAGGACATACTTATATTATATTTTATATCATAAAATATCTAGAAAGTATAAAAGATTATACAAACGATGTCAACCGGACGTTACATAGCTAGGACATTATATGATACGGTATTTTGCTACTTCATTGAACTTCGTAACATATATAGAAGGTTGTAGATTGAACACAATAAAACCTGCTTATTCCTTGGACAGGTTTCAATTGTGGTCAATGAAAAGGTCAATAAGGGCAGGCCATTTGATCTCTACATTGGAACAGCTATTTAGGCGCCTACTCCGCATGATCGCTCATGCGAGCTGTGATTCCATTGACAAATGTTACAAATATGGTTTTTTTTATATCGACAAAATGAGGACTGTGTAAAATCTGTCTACATGGATACCTCAGTCTCACTTATTTTATAGCCTCGATAATCTAACGGTTTAACACACCGCCTTCCGATGGTCGCGGGTTCGATTCCTTGTATGGTACACACATCTTGTATTCATGAGTGTGATTGTTTGTATCAGTCTATGTGTTATCTATATATGTATTCACAAAAAAATGTATTTATACCAGGTGTACAATATTCATACAACAAGTTCTGCTTAGCTAGCTTGGACTAGACGGCGCTGGGTGAATTACATACGGCTCAAACATTTTGTATTCATGAGTACGATTGTTTGTTTCGGTCTGAGTGTTTTCTATGTAAATACATTACGTGTCGTGCGAGGAATCGAACCCGCGACCATCGGAAGTAATGCGGTGTTCTAAACCGCTAAACCACCGAGGTTGTCAAATTATTTATTTATTCATCTTTATTTAATTGAAATGTTTATTTATTAAATTATTATAGTATTATTAAAGAACACAGATCTGTGTTCAAAATCAGTTTGTAATGAAATAAATAATTTATAATGAAATTAACCACTCGTGTACGAACAGACAGCAATAATAGTACTTGTACACAACAAATAAAATTTTATGAGATCGTAAAATTGACCGTAAATTGTCACCCCCCCCCCCCCCCCCCCCCCCCCCCCCCCCCCCCCCCATACAACTTAATCAGCACTGGATTAAGCTAGCATGGAGCCTGTAGCCAATTCTTTAGAGGGGACCATAGTTTACTTTCACATAGTTGAAAGTTGAAAGTTTGGTTTGGGTTTTGAACATTAAGTTGTAAGTCTACCAATGAGTCTAGTTTCAAAATCTATTTAAAACCAATTAAGTTGTGAGCGAAGGACTGTATTTGTATTTGTTGGTAAATAAAATTATGGATAGATAGTTTTTTAAGAAGGAATAGTATAATTGTACATATCAAAAGTAAAGCAGATGACAGAATAATAAAAATTATAAAATACAATATTGTTTTTTCTCTACATCAAATAATAGAAAATAAAAAACATAAAGGTGCGTCACCAGTATTGTCCGTGTGTCTGCCTGTTTGATATATTTTCACAACTAAACGGCTGGACAGATCGTAATTAAATTAGTAATAATTATACATTATATTACGAAGGACGGAATTATTAAACATTAAAAATGGAGACAATGACACCGATAACAACTAGTATTTCTAATACATAAATCTGTTACAATGTTGGTTCGTTCATCGAGAATACAAAATATAGTACTAATATTTCAGAAGTAAACTAATAACGAAAATGTGCAAAAAGGTACGATCTTTACATAGTATAAAACAAAGTCGCTGTCGCTGTATGTCCGTCCCTATGTATACTTAAATCTTTAAAACTACGCAACGCTACGATAGAGTGATTCAAGAGGAAGGTTTATATGTATAATACATGTGCACCCGGACGAAGCCGGGGCCAGTAGTTACTTTTAATATAAAATGGTTGCAGTCGTTTGTAAGATAAAATTGAGTTTTCACTTTGTGGTTTAGTTAAATAGAGCTGCATTAATAATTACATCATTAAAATAATAATAAAGTCGGTCAAGGGCATGATGACGATGTATAGAGATTTTGTACTGAAGCGGGTTTAAATTAGGTACTTATGTCACTGCTATTAATGACTAAACTATAGGTATCTGTATTAATAATATGAAGAGGTAAATCTTTACAATTTTGAACCAAATAAACTCAAAAATTGCTGGACTAATATCAATAAATCTAGCACCATTAGAATGCTATATTATCCATGAGTAACATTGGCTGTATTAATTATTAAAAATAAATAAGTTTTCCTACTAAAACTTTAATTATTTACCAGCAAGATATGTAAAATACGTGGTATAGGGTGACACAAAATGTCTTTCCATGTCCTGAGTAAATCTAGGTAGATTTCCGCTAATGAAGTATAAAGAGAGAGCAGATATTGTTAGGTTAGTAGAGGTAAGTAAACTGCGGAACCACAGCACAGCATCAGTTTTAAAAATTCCTTCACAAAGTTTGAAAGGTATATTAGGCATTGCCTAAGTTACTGTAAAATTATGTTTGTTTACAATCTATTGGGCGGGATTATAAACTGTCGACAATTTATTTATATAAAATCCCTGGACAATTCACACAACGCCATCTAGTCCCACGCTAAGCTGACCTTGTGTTATGTACTAGATAACTGACATAATTATATTTAGATACATTTTTTTCTTTCATACAAAATTATATTCATAACAGACCGATACAAATAATTATATTCATGTTTGTACTGTGCGAGGAATCGAACCTGCGACCATCGAAAGTAAAGCGCTGTAGTAAACCGCTAGACCACCGATGCATATCTTTTTTTATTTATTTAATTGAAATGTTTTCCAATGATTTGCAGCTTTCTGGGCGTTCCTGTACTTCGTGGGCTTCTGTTACCTGTCCAATGCGTGGGGCAAGACTGTGAAACCTCCTCTCGGCACCGCCAATAACATGCAAGGCGCCATTGCGTTCTGCTTCTTCTCCATCTTTGCTTGGGTCAGTTATATAGTATTTTTACCATTTTGTACCAGAGGTCTATAAAATCTCGACTCTGTAAGTACGTCTACCTCAACCGGTCGAAAAGCAGCTTATTTGCAAGATGTTTTGACTGTGTTTGGCAGTGAAATTACAGAGGCATAACATATAAGTCTTCAATCAGTGTAACGCATATGCAGTACGACGTATACGTGTACACGTATACGTCTCAAGATGACGTAACGATGATTGTATACCATAACATATCTCAGAAAAATAGAAAGATTTAAACCTTTTATTATTGTATAAATGTATTAAAAAATAATCCAAATACATAAATGACACAGAATAAATAAATATAATGTATATGGTTTCCAGGTGGCATGCGCGTTCTTCGCGTTCCAACGATTCCGTCTGGGCGCGGAGGCGGCGTTCGCCCCGGCCTACGAGGTGGAGGCGGCCGGCAGCCCCGGAGGGTTCCCCGCGTACCCGGGCGCGCCCGACCCCCAGCCGGCCTACAGCGACCCACCATTCTCACAGCCCCACAACACCGCTGCTGGTAACTATGAAATACTGAACACCAATATAGTGTAGACTTTGATATAAGTCATTGCTGTTATAATAATAATAATATTAATTTGGAATTTGCACAGTGCATGCATAGTCCCTTTGGTGATCTCCAGTGTAGGTGTAATACAAACGAACCTACAACACAGCCTGCATATTTTGAATCTACCGCCGAGTACATATATCACAATGCAGAAAATGGCAATAATAAATACCTATCGTATCGTGCGTAAATTTTTGTAGGAAGACAACATAACTGTAAATTAAACATATAACTGACTGACTTACTTGGTCAGTGTGACCCGTAACTGTAACGTAACACCAAAGAAATTCGAGAATACAAAATGTATGAATAAATAAGATATGAATAAAACACGGTAAGTAGAGCTTGTGTTATGGGTACTAGACAACTGCAATGTAAAATATAATATACGGAAAAAAAGAGCAAATAAAATGTACATATAATTAAACTTAATACATTAAAAAATAAACATAAAATATTTTTTTTATGCTCAACTGATATTAATACATACATTTTTTTATGAGTACATATATAATATACATAGAAAACACCCAGAGAGATACAAACAATCATATTCGTGAATACAAATGTTTGTACCGAGCGAGGAATCGAACCCGCGACCACCGGAAGTAAAGTGGTGTGCTAAACCGCTAGATCACCGAGGCCGTTATTATATGTACAATAAATGAATATTTTAAATAAACGTGTGTAAAGAAAACATACATATAAATATATGACAAATTTATAAGCAATATGTATTTTTCTTCCTGTTTACGACACAACTTTGGCTCCACTTTGTCAGGTATACGATTGTGCCTAGCATAAAAAATCTAATATCAGCTTCAAAACCTACCTAGGCCTGCCACCAGTAACACGTATACAGCTGTTACCTTACGCTATCTTTACGCTAGGTTGCTTATCGACTAGACAGACATAGAAAGCTTTAGGGATCAGTAATTCAGACAATCAGTAATGGGATTAGTAAATTCATTCCCAAAGGTCAGTAGTTCAAAACTGACCAACACAGTTATTTTATATTAGCTATAATATGTAGTAATGGAAACATCGATATTAAATGAAATTGATGGGAAAGATGGTGGTAGGCTCTCCACTACTCTTTTTGCACTTATGTTCCCCATCAAAATATTAGTAATGGTCAAATGTTATATATATTACAGGGCATAATTTGTAATGAAATATTTTTCTAATTTTCCAGGCAACATCGACTACACCGCCCCAACTTATTAAGCTGGCAACACACACTACGGTGCATCTGTTAATTTACTCCGCCTCTTGTTTTATTTTGTTTTTATATGAGTAAGTAATAAAATAGTACACAAGCTGACGTGATGATCGATCGATGGCTGATCATCCTCAATATGGTGAGTAACTTTCAAATTGGACTATATGTCATGTTATCATTATTACATCATTAAAGACGGATTTACACTGCATATTTACACATCAGTACTGGCTCGTTAAGTAAGAAGTTTGGCAGTTTCCTTTACACTGTGGTTATCACAGTGTGTAGTGTTAGCATGGTTACAGTATGGAATTTGGTGTCATGGTCGAAATATCTTGAAATATACAATGGAAATAAGTCAGTTAATAAAGAACACTGCTCGACTGTTCCATCATCTGTAACATACACATGATGGAATAGTCAAGTAGTGTTGCGACATACATTTTTTGACAGTACCAAATAAAAACTTGATTATCTCGAGTTTGCATTTAGGTTTTGGGGCAATGTAAATCTGCCTTTATGTATTTTATTCTCAGCTAATTGTTGTTCGATGAAGAATATTATATACATATATAACTGTATTTCTTTTGTTTAATGTTCAATAAACTAGCACATAAGTAATTTAATTGTAGTTATGATACACGTGGTTTGTGTCTAAACCTTTAAAGAGTTGTATATCTAGTCTTTCTATGTAGGTACCATTTTATTTTACCAATGCAGAGTTTAACATAACTTGGTCTCATATTTGATGAAGTATTATTTACATTTAATATAAAAAAAAAATATTCCCACAGTATTGTATGATAGAGAAAGTTGGGTATGTGATGAAGAGTAGAATGAATTTACATTTTTTATTTATAAGAAATACACAGAGAATCTGCAGAATAAGAAGGATGGACGAGAATGACTTCTGTGAGGATAGAGGAAGCGAGATCGTTTGAATGAAAATGTTATTGTAAGAGTAAGAAAGGTCTTGTTATATTAGTTAGGGTTCTTCACCCGTGACCCAATGAGACGGAAGATTGAAGTAATGGATGGATTATGAATTGACAGTGTGTTAAACTGATGTCTGGTGTAGAAATCGTATGTAAGAGTCAAGTTCACATTGATTGCCTGATGATCTGTTAATTAATGAAAGACTCTTGTGCAAACAACGTGTATGTTTGAGAGTTATGAAATTGAATAGGCAAGAGCTGTTTGGGAGGTTAACCAGTAGCACTTATTTCTGTCTATATACCCCGAAATGGTCGGGCGTGAACATACAAATATAAATAATAATTGAAAATTCATTTTTATTGCATCAATGTATTCTTGGTTATATTGCTTCTGATTTGAAATATATAAAAAGGAAGCCTCTAATATTAGTGCTATATATATACATATATAGCGATGACATTGAATAATTTGTTTAACAAAATGATGTGTCAGTAAAAATAATAGCAGACATTTTAGGGGTATTATCATGCAGAATGAGTAATTATTTAATGAAACTTCCTACTTTAGTTCATATTTAGTTTCCTACTCTTAATAAATGCGTGGTACCAACTTATATAAAAAAATCTGTATATTAAAATAAACTGTGTACTAATTATTACTTAACTCTGTAACGTCCATTGTTTTTTTTAATCCTAATGTTTTTGTCATATATCATATTACATCAAGTTACATTATATAGGCTAATAAATTTATTAACAAATATATATGTTATAATAAACTTGTATATGATATAATATTGTTTATTAGTGGCCATTGTACTATCGTATTTTAGTAATACTTTGTTAATTTTATCATCGACGCATGTGTGGGATCCCAGCAGTGGCATAGTTAGGTAACCAAGGGCCCTGGGGCAAATCAAAGTTTTCGCTATCCGTCAAATTGACAACACTGCCGACCCACAGAAAGAATTTAGGGGGATTCCGAAGGTATAACTTTCGAATTTCTCTCAACTGAGTTGCCATGATTAAAGTCGGACTGCAACCTACAATATTTATTTTGGAAATGGGAGAAAAGTTCAGTTCGATCGAGATTTTCTGGTAAGGGTTCGAGGGCCCCCTGAGCTTGAGGAGCATTGCCCCGCCTAGGCCTTAGGTAGCTATGCCACTGGATCCCAGGCATAGCATGATAACGTGATGTTCGTATTGCTGTTCAAATATATACCCGTTTGTTGACGGCTACCACCTACAATTAGGAGGTCGTCAGCTTATTTACCATTGCAATTACAAAAAAATTACAATAATGGATGTCTAAATATAATATATGTTCTAAAATACTGATAGTATAACAGCCCCTGTATAAAATTGTTAACCCAACTCAAATAAGAATAATCTCATATATTTTCAATATATTATTATTATTATATATAATCGCATTGCTTCACAGTACCTGCAAGTAGATGTGTATATTTATGACAATATTATCCAATGACACTACCGTGCAAAAGAATCGTATCACCAACTTATTGACAATTCAAATGTATGTATCTCAAATATAGTGTAGCCGATTGAAAGAGAAAAAAAAATAAGGCTGCATAATTTATTGACATTTCGGATATAGACAAAGAAAAAAGTGAATTTTAATGACCTTACATGTATCAAACTATTTATACCGTAGTAATTAAGAAATAGTTTCAGTACGATATTCATCTTTATTTACTTGAAAACATGAAACTTTTATGAATGACAGCTTTTGAGACTTGAATGGTACTCAAAAGTCGTCTCAAAGCCGTAATTGCCCTCATAAAAGTTTCTTCAAGACTAATATATGTATTTGAATTTCCAAATAGTGGGTGACACGACTTTTTTGTCCGCCAGTTTATATATTGTAATATATAATTATTATGTAAATAACAAAGATTCATGTTACGCCATTAATTGTGTTGGTGATAGTTTTGTGATATTATTTTCTCTCGTTGTCATTTTAATTTTCATATAGTGCCATCAATTCGCTTTAAAACGTTCACATAATAAGTCCATTCGCTAATCACGTCACTTAATACGTTTTTAGATATATAAGAAATTGATTGAATGCGTGCATGTTACGTTCTCTGTTTTACCATTTTTTCTAATTTATTATTAATGTCTAATATTTTGAACCAAATGATTTGTATACATTATTTACCGCGTTATGAAAGTTTTTATTCTCGTTAACGCAACTCGCAGTTGAGCAAGTTTCTTTTGCAGATATTAACGTTGCTATTGTACGGTGCACTGGTCTGAATGACAGTATGACATAATGGTTACTATAATATAATAACTTGTATTTGAAATTAAGTTAATCCAACTGTGTATGAAATGATCATATATTATCAAGCTGAAGTACTATAACTTTTCTCAATAATCTTTCAAGTAATTATTTGTTGAAACTATGTTCGAAATTGCTGACAATAATAATATTACACATTTCGCCTGGGTAAATATTATATTCGTGAAAAGACTATTAACATATATAAAGATATGATCATATCTTTAATTCTTCGCGTATTTTTGACCCAATACTCATACCAATCATGTACTTACAGAATTGAATAACTTTTCTTTATTATTATTACTTATTTACCATGATGCGATATATATCTTAGTTTTATCCACGGCCGTCATACTGTCAGACAGAACGCTGATATTTTAATTGTCATATAATTATGTTCAAGTATATTTACTGTACATAAGCCTATGTCCAGCAGTAGGCTGAATATGATTATAACTTGATATCGTTAGCGCCGAAACTGAACTATGCAAAGTGTACAAGCTTAATTAAGCTTAATATTTAAATAAAAATCTCAATCTGAGGAGGTAATCATATAACGACATATTGTATGTCTATTTTTGTTTTTCGTATATCGTTATATTGGCAATAAAATAATATTTAAAGATATTATTATATTTTTACTATACGCGTTTGTTAATATATTTTTTTTAATTATTAGTTCACCAAAGTTATTTTTTATAATTTTATTTCATAAAATGTTGTCAGTATTAATAAACATACATAGTTACTGTGTATAATAAATATATAAGCGCTTAATTCCAGATCATAGTGTATTTTTTTAAAATGATAATTTAAGAATATGCTATCTTTATAGTCTAAATTATGCGTATAATAATGTGACTCGTTACATTTATTATAATAATGTGCAAGCGGATAATGTAATGTCCTCCAATTATACAATTTACAAGAAACATAACAATGTATGAGTACAATTCCGTTAAAACCATATCTATTTTCAGAGGAACGGTAATATAATTCAAATAATGCGAATGAATCACCTTTCGCAGAAATTGATTATCTAATGATAACTGCAACAGTTTAAATATAGGCCCAAACGTGTTTCAGAACAGAATCGGCGTAAATTTAAATTTCTATAGACAATATTAAGATATTTTTTTATGGCGGAGTTGGAGAGCTACTTCTCAGCTAGGGCTAGAACTTCGTTCGTTTAATGGAGATGCTAAAATGTCTATATGAATAAATGTTTCTTTTTGGATGAAAAAAAATCAGTTATAAAATTCTATTTGTAACATTATCATAATAGTTGTATACGAGCATATGTAGCGGCTGGTTGAATTGAACCAGAAGATTTTCCGATGTGGCTATCAAACGTTTCATCTCCCATATCGTTGCCACACGCCGACTATCAGTCAGTGTTTGAAAATTTATAATTATACCTTTTTAATCATATTAGTCCTTTACTATTGCCAGATTTTACAACGAATCTCATTGTCTATGCTTCAGGGAGATAATGTAAACTATAATGTGTATCAATATAGTAGAAACGTTTGAAATGCACCACATCAGTCTTTATCACTTCCATAGCTTGCACTATTCTTTGTAAAGAGTTAGCAATAAATTATTTAATTCTCTAAATGTACTGTTTCTCATTTAATTTTCGATGTTAGCAACACTTTTTTTGGATAGCTTGAAGCTTGTGTGAGAAACTAGTACATTGACGATGCAATCAAAATTGGAAGAGGTAACCTCATGGATCTCGAGCTAAATATGGTTTGCAAAATTTCAGAATGGCAATTTATTACTTATAATTTGACTACTATATTTTTTAAATATATTTTTTGCTGATTCTGCCTATTGCGGTTTATTTTGATAACTGAGATGGCACAGTATGGTGGAGGAGCCTTATTCTTATTTTGATTGCATTATAGTAGGTATGATTGACCATATCAGTCGTGTAAAAGGGCATTGTTGTAATTGTAGTGAAATATATTCTTGCCTATTTGATTGATCAATCCATATGCAATATATATGTATACATATTAACTTTTGTATATAAATATTAAATTACATAAGTAATATATAGGAATCTCATTACTTCTCATTAATCAATCTATATATATAAAAGATAATAATTATAATGTATTCAATTACAAGAGTTAAAAGAAAGTGTAATACTTTTTTTGTAATATATAATTTTATATTATATTTGTATATTAAAAAAGACATTGGATTTGAATAATCAAAGGGCATCGAATATTTAATGAATATTAAATCTTTCATTAATCTATTAATGATTATATTAACTTATTAAATATAAAATATTGCAGTAAAATTATTTACTGCAGTAATGACAGGTTCTTAAGCTGCTGATTAGATAACTAACACTGGTTTTTGAAGCAATTAAAAATATAAGACATTTTCTTTTGAACTATAAAAGAATATTTAAAATTAAGTAACATAGTTTTAGTATGTAGAACGCAAAAATTAATAAACATTTGTTTTTTGACATAGGTATATTGTATTTGCCCGGCACCGTGCCGTATATGTACATCACTAATTAAGACTACATGTCTAAATCAATAAGGTCTAAATTGGAATGTTATAACAATTTGTCTAAACATGAGTGGATGCCCTTCAAATACATGATTGATAGATGTATTCGTTATTCTAATGTAACAAATTCTTCTGTACACTAATCGTAATGTAGTAACAGTACTTATATATCTAGTTGTAGATATGTAACACGTATGTTGGTTAGTCTGTTCTGACGATAATAAAAAACTATTAAATAATAAAAAAAAATATTGTAATAAGTGTTGGATATTAACGCTAACGTTCTGTGTTTGGTGAATTAAGTAAAATGTGTATATTTAGCACCTGTGTTTCAGTTTCTTGGGGGGCCATTGTAATAAATGACGTCACACTTTAACGAAGGGGTGGGGGGAAGACGAAAGAGTGTGACATGTATAAAATATCATGAAATCTAAATCTAAACCTTAGGGCTGATAGATTTTGTGATAACAAAAGTATTACATTTGTAACAAAACATGAAATTGTAACTATTCAAATGTGACAAGCTGTGACATGAGAGGGGGGAGGATAAAAGTATTCAACTCAGTGTGACGTAATTTATAGATGGCACCTTATTGTACTTACACAAAATTGTTACTAAAGAGTTACCAAAGAGTTTCCCATAGTTTCTAAAGGGCGTATTGAACATGCTCGTGTAATTGTGCTTAACGAATATATATAAGTAAGTTTTCCTGTTTCCTTTCAACGTATTCACTCGTATACTCAACTCGAGTTTTATCTTACAAGCCAATGTAATGTAAAACTCTAGAGTTGGTGAAGAATACGCATTTTAAGAGTGGGTGGAGTTTGATCTTACTTTATCGATACACAATAATAAACCTTATGTTTAAACAGTAAAGTGCTGTTGTACTTAACAGACTATTATTACAGAAAAAATATTAAATAGTGTTACTAGTAAATCTGATTTGAAGATGTAGTTTCGTACAGCCAGGCTGGTCTTAAAACTACAAAATCACCACTGTTCATAATATTTGATCAAACTCCATAAAATTCTATTTTAAATAGAGATATATTATATAACTACAATTTACAAGTTATTAGCTTCATATAAATGTCTAGTAAGTTTTAAATTGTAATAAGTACATTTTGCTACCATTAAATTAATTGAGTCAACGCCAAAGAAATGTGAATGTTAATTTTGTGACAAAAGTATTGTAACAAAATTACCATCCTTACTTTACAGAAATTGTTAAATTACATGTGATTATTATTTATTGTATATTTACAACTACCCCAATTATACATAAATAATTGTTAATACTGTCATTACTTCGTGTATGTGAAAATAATACACTTATGCATTACTGCATTGAAGAAAATTCTCATTAGACATTTATAAGAAGCCCGTAACATGTAAAATATGTGAAATAAACTGTTATAATTTTAATATCACATAATTCGTTGTAGGTACACACTTGAAAATGTAATCGTTATGGTCTACCTATCTATTGACGGCATGTTAATTATTTTAAAATTATAAAATACCTATGTAATTATTATATTTATTTGTAACTTTTATAACTTACTTACAATTTTTTTTTTTAATTAACTGGTCGTATTTTCTTTTGGACCAATTAGAGAACACAGACTTTCGATTTAATTTAAGCCAGTGAGCTCTATTATCGTATTTTATTATTTCCTATAAATGTTAAAGATCCTTTCATTGTTAATAATATGGATTTCAATTAGAATTTTGTTAAAACTTATGTATAGTTATAATTTACTACTTTGTTTACAATTAGATACGTGTATCTAAAAAGGCAGTTTTAACTTTATAACTTTCACTGTAACCAAAATCATGGCCATTCCATATCGGTTAAACAGAAGAATTATCAGTAAACTATACCTCGTGTTGTAATGATATTGATTACAAATTCATAGTTTTATTTTATACCTATGTTATATTTTTATTAATCAAAAGAATCTTAAAAATAGGTTTTCAAACTTTCATTTAAAAAAGTGTCTATAAACATATTCACAGAGGTGATATCGATGGATTTCCCAAATATTGACTTCACACGTCAATTTTTGCCTCTAATTATTATTACAGGCCTTAATTGGTTCTAAATACCAATTTGCTGTTCCAAGATATTATGAATGTCAAAATAATTAGTTTATTGACAAATACTAGAAATTTTTAATAAATAGCGTGTGTACCATCAAGGTAAGTTGGCAGTGGTTACTTACTTTTCATAAAAATTGAGATACTGGCTTCATCTGTCATAGTCTGTGGTTTTATCACTTTGTCCCAATTTATGTTGATAAGCATTTATGAACTGTTTAATCGTATAGTCGAATTCTGATAACATTTCGCAATTATAAAAAATATTTTTTTAACCAATCGACTTTAAACATTTAGCATTACAGTCGTTTTTCTAATTCGTGTTTCTCTCGCAGTTAATGCATTACGTTATTAAAGATACGAACTTTAACGAATTCAATATACGCCCCAAACTGTAAAGCACTTGCTAACGCACAAAATCTAAATCGTGTGAATAACTATTACTTTTAATGTGTGTACCTCTATTTAATGTTTAGATGTTCAACATTGTGCGAATGAAATTATAATAAAAAATAAACGGAAATGATAGATATTGTGAAAAATTGATTTTTATTTAATGTCCCACATAAACCTACATATGAATACATTGGAATAATACTTAGTACTTAATGTACATTATGATGGTCGTAAGATCAAATCTAGATATTTTTTTATGTAAATAAAAAATGAGTTTATTTGATAGTGAATGAAATTATAGAAAATCTTTACATTATCGAAATATTCAATGAATGTTGAGGTACATACCTATTAACTTACACTTTACATCTAATGGATAGATAGAAGCCTGTAATTGCAGTCTCCTAAGGTATATTTCCGGTGATAGGAAACACCGTTAACAAATAAATAATTACAGATATGGCGCTGCAGTAGGCTCGCCTCCTGCCATGTAGTTCTGGTAAATATTCACAGCATAATATTGCTCATATTATGTGAAGTGTTGCGTTGACCTCAAGTTCCACAAGATGCAAGTCTCGACTGTCCCAACTAGGATTAGCCGTGACGATATTATGTAACTTACGGCATAGTAGAAGATATTAATTAATCCAGACCAATATTATAAATGCAAATTGTCTGTACATCTGTTGACTTTTTACTACTAAAATGGCGGAACGGATAACGTAATAAAATTTTACATGAACATAGATTATATTACCAGTATTGAACTAGGGTGTTTTCTTGAAAATAAAAACAAGCGGCTAACAATTGGTCAAGAATAATAATAGTAATATATTATTTATTAATCGATATAATTTTCAAGTAGGTAGGTATAATACTGTGTACTGAACTAATACGTAAAAATAGCGATTACAGTAGAATAATAAATAAGAATAAAAACTTTTAGTTCCATTTTTATTTTAATTATCACTTACAATTAGAATTATCACAAATAAACAGTGAAAACTGATGATTCACAGAATCTCATTTACACGGTAATGGGAAGATCTTTTGAGTTCATGCAACTCGACACTACACCTTAGTGGCAAGTTGTCAATAGTCAAAAACGGTGAGTACGTAGCTAAACAAAGTAATAATACTCATAGACAAGGTTGCAAATGTTTAAAATAAAACAGTAAAGTCCATAACGTGTTTACAACAAATTGTTCCTGTTTATCAATTTTCGGCACGTTTTTCTCAACATGACGTAATCAGATATGTATCTTAAGAGTCATTCACCTGTTCGCAAAACTTGAAGAATATTTTTTAAATGTTGAGTTTTATTTTTATTACCAACCAGGCCTTTTATACACATTCAAGTCTTATTCTATTTATACAATTTATATTTCTGCATAGTATTTACTGTGTAAGATTCCAAAGAGAAACAATTAAAATTTAGTTTATCTAAATTAAATTGTACGCGTTAAACTATTTATAAGCTTGAGATAAGTGAGTGTGACTCTAAATTCGACAGAACAAACATCACCAGTCTATAAAAAATATAATTCAACATCAAGTGGACATTTATACTTAAAGCTAATGATTAATCTTACACATTCACATAAAAGTATGACCTTTATGTATTCATTGAAGGTAGATAAACAACTAAAGGGTCGCAACTAAAATTAGTATCACTATTCAAGTAATAAGGAACTGAATAAAACATGAATGTACAGATCTAAGCAATAATTTAAATTGTAATAATGCAATGTTTTTGTAATAACTTTTCCATGAGTATAATTTAGCATATATACATATATGAATCATGATCAATTTCTGTTAGACATCTAAAATTAAAGGCAAAGCTGTTGTACTCTTCATATGAATCTAGTTAATATTACTTTATCTTACATATGCTAGAGAAAATTTATGAGGTGGCAAAAATACAGGATAAATTGCCTGCACACACACTAGAGGCAATATTCACTCGATCTAAACTAACTACACTAACACAATTGTCATACACTGTCATAAATTACAAATAAACTGCAAGAATTCAATGTTCCGTTAAATTAACCAAAAAACATATTTCAATTAAAAAATATGCATGTTTTTGTTTTTTTTCATTGCACTTTAGCTTTGCTTAGATTAATTTAGATTAATTCTACATAAAATGCTTATCAGTATTCATCCTCCCTCCACTGGGATGTCTCCATGATAGGTATAAAAGTAAAGCTCAATATTTCCACAACAAATGCAGTGTAACATTATAATAACATGTTCATCTAAAACATAATAGTTAATTGTAATATTATGTAAATTACAAATTTGTTTTTAATACTTCTAACACTGTCTATCCACTGCATTAAAAACTAAAGAAATCAACTTTTGATTAAACAGGCTTCACCTAGAGTCTTTAAAATTTGTCTCAATATAAGCAGTCTCTAAGCCCTGCCTGTAAGCCTGTACTACTTTTTAGCTTTAGCTGAATGCCCTTGCTTGTTAGGGGGTGTCCAGCGCAATGCAGATGGATCTACACACAGTCGAGGCTTCTTGAAATGTGAGCTGGCCAATTGTTCAGCAACTATCTTTGGTGTCACACAGATAACATGCTGCCCTTTCCAATATTTGACCATGTTCATTGACTGCAGAGTTGATATTATATCTGTCTGTGATATACCAGTCATTTGACTCAGATCTTTGATGCTTAATGTTCCTCTACTTGCACTTAACACTTCTAGTAAAACATATGACCAATAAGATCTATAACTGAGTTTGCCAAGATCTGACAGTGGCTTTTCTGGACTACCTACAACTTGTTCCAATCTTGACAACTCGTAACTGAATGCAATGAGCAACTTTCCATAGCCTTGTCTTTGATAAGGAGGTAGTGTTAAAATGCAAGCAACATTATTGCCTTCGGGGGAGTCTTTCTCTTTAGAAAAATAGCCAACAAGGTGAGCGCCTTGTTTGTCAACTTCACATAAAATATAAAATAAAAACTGCTCTATGTCAAAATACAAAGTCTTATGATCCAAGAAAAGCTTTGCCAACAAACATAAGTTCTGACAATATATTTTGTGTTCTTTGCCGTCCGCTTCGAATATAGCTATTGTACCCTTTCTATATATTTCATTGCCTTGTGGCTCTCTTGCTGTGCATTCGCTTAGATGATACCGGTATGTTTTCTCCATTCTCATATATTTCAAACAGTACTCACAAATCCACAGTTTCGATTGTTTCCCATACTCATCAGGATATGGACTGAAGTACCATGTGTCTATCTCATACTTTCCGATCTGTATCCTATCTATGTATTTAACTTTGGTGATTGCTTCGTGTTCTTTCTCCAGTGCTGCTGTTGTGGGGTCCATTTCGGCATACGACTTTTGTACGTGATTGATCTCATCATGTTTACGTTTTTGATTTCTTGTTATTTTCCGGCCCGACTTATCTGTGAGTAAATGATCTGAATTTATGTTGTTATTAGATTGTTCGCACATGTCAAACCTATCATTCATAACCCGGTGGCGGGAAACCCATTCGTCGAGCCTTCTATCGTATCCCACATAGTGGACATAATATTCGTAACACGATTCGGCGTCATTGTACCGCGTTTGTATTATCTCAGCCGGGTGCCATGACTCATCCGAACGCCGCACCAAATAATGCTCTCCTATGTCCAAAGGCTGTTCTTGGGCGGATTCCGAATCATCATGATCCACACTTCGACATTCCGGGTTGGGTAATTCATTATTCACAATGGGTTTTTCTAATTCTTTATCACCTTTTGCCATATTAATGGAAAACTCAACGATCTGATAACGCAATATCGCGCAATACAATCTAAAGAAGAGGCCATACTATACTATCATAGATTATAGAAAAAATACCGCGCAAAAACGTGCGCGGTTTATTAGTGCTGCGCCAATTGTAAACCATAACTTAGTGATTATATTCTCTCTGGTACGGCAGCCAAAGTCATAATATATTTAAAAAAAAGTTATTTTGTTACAGTTTCTTGGGGACTGGAGAATGTATAAGTCTCGAGTCCCCAAATTACAAAGGAAAGAAACTGTAACTAAATAATCGAGCTTCGGCATATGACCGTAAACCCAGAAGACGTAATATTTTTTGTCCTTGTTGTACATTCGTGATAAATAAAATCGTGTTTCAGTTATAAATGATTAAATATGTAGGTAAAGACAATTTGTTTTTTAACATGTCTATAATAAAAAATAACAACAAAGTAAATATAACAAATATATCAACAAATAAACAATGTCTATAATTTTGAACCGGCGGACTGTGGGAAGGAGACAGAATGTTTGAATTCAAGGTCTCTTTCATAAATTAGTTGCCGCAATATACGAACTAAATGGAAAATGAAATTATATAACCTTAACAAAGTATATGTAACTGAAAACATATTAAACTTAATCTTAAATACAACGGAACCGACAAATAAATAAATCTTTAATAAAATATCCATTAAACAAGAGGCAAAATGGGTTATGATCGTAGCTAGCCCAAAGGATACTATCAAACAATAAAAATGAACGAATGAATGAAATGGACGTTCAAAAAGTAAGTCAAACTGACTCAATCAAACTCAATCAAAATTCAAATCAAATCCCTGTCTCTGCTGTTGCTTCTGTTCTGTTCGCTGTCTCGCTTATTACGGCGAAACGAACCGTTCGCAGTGTTAGAATTTTTGTGAAGAAAATTTGTTCTTATCGCTTGGATAGAGATATGAAACTCATATTATCTAAATACCGTGTTGTTCGTTTATTTTAGTGCTGATTGTGATGAGGAAGTGTGTTGAATTTTTCTAAACATTAACAGTGAAGTGATTGCAAGCAAGCGAATCTTAAATTGCTCTGTCTGCTTTGATTATCGTGCTTTATTTGTGACAACGTTCGAGTAAAACACAAAAATGCAAGCGATTAAATGTGTGGTTGTCGGCGATGGGTAAGTTTTATCTGTTGTTATATTATCTGACATAGATTGTGTGATCAATCGCCGGGACTATTCGTAAAATGAATTCTTTCATAACGTAACAATTGGTAGACTGATGACTGACGTCATATTTAAATTGAAACGTCTCGAGGCTTGATTTATACTCTTACGTGCTGTATTCGCGCGTACGGAAGCTACAACGCCCGTTATTTTGTTATATTACTATCATATGTCCACTGGGTCATTGTCTTTTTGCTCCATTTATGGCATGCAAAGCCACTAATTGATGACATGTGTCATTTAAATAACAACCTATACTTTCGTACAAAATCCTCCCCTCCTGTGTCAGCTGCCCATGATAAAATAATTGTTCACAGTTTATTAATTTGGTATAGTAAAAGATATTAAAATATTTGTATAATAATATATTGTTATCAGTTTAAATGCGGAATGTAACCGCAAACTACTACTACTAATAAACTATTAACTATTTGGTATATACTATAAATTAATTAATTAAAAAAATTATGATATTATTTTATATATAAATAAATAATGTTAATATTAGTTTTTCTAATGTAAGTTGAATATTTTCAATAGGTATTATCATTACATTGGAGTGCTTTAGCTAGTTGTCTCTATATGGAAAAAAATATAGTGAGCTCAGAGGGGAAGAAATTGTTAGTAATGTGGAATAGTAACCCCATTTTTAGCAATGTTCCTCATATCATTTCCAGAGGGGACTCTGGAAATCATGGTTCATTCCTGGTGAATTAGTTATGATGTGCTAACTGATCTGACTTCCTGCTCATCTTATCATCCTTCACTGGTTTCCCACCAGCAAATACCATTAGCATGGGCGGACGGATCATTCCATTATCATCGATTAAAAACAAATTGTGCACTCAATAGCAAAAATATGGATTATGAACAGACTTTCTTTGTGTATGAAAAAGTCCATGCAATCCATAAACTTGCATAATTTACATTACAAATGCTTTTTATGACAGAAATACACTGTTGGAAAATACATTATTTGGGAGTGATGTACCCTAAATCACTCTCAAATATTATGTCAATATGTGAAACAATTATTGAACTTATCAACATTTGGCTGAAACTGAGGAGAGCCAATAGTACGTTATAAAATTCATGGTGAATATACTATGATGCGCTAACTGACCTGAGCATGTGTTAATCTTATCCTCCAATGGTGTCCCACCAGCGTAAACCGCTACCGCAGGGGCACCATTCCATCATCATACATAAGAAAAAATAGTATAACTATTATAAAATGAAAATATCTAACTTCAATGCAATCTTTCTATCTATATCTCTATATCAAACCACCTCTACCTGTTACAACAATATATTGTCAATATATCTTATCTCTGCTTCTGGGAAGTATTCTAACTGTACTGTAGCTATTTGATAATGTACATTACTGATTTCTTTTTATTTTGATCAATATGATATAAATTTTCTTTGTACACCAAACCTGTAGAAATGTATAATCAACACATATTGACATTAATACAGTAAAAAAAACTTTTTGCAGGATTGATGAGTAAATAACCAACTTATTGCTATGGCAAATCATTTTATAGAAGGGAGTTTTGCTTAGTACAATTGTACTATAGATACTATTTTATATAAAGTCTATGTAGATAAGTCTCATATATTTTAATTCAATGCAGTGACAGATAAAAAAAAGCATGACTATTAAAAAGTCCTTAAATTCAAGTTTATTTGATTGAAGATTTTTTTTCTATTTTCTCATAATGTTATAGCATATTTTACATACATATGTATGTATAGGATTCTATTACACATTTTTCTTGTTTTCCTATAATGTACTTCTTGAGCTTTGCTTTCTTAGCCAAATATACAAATTAACTGCACAATATTTACTATGGGCATTACTTTTATTATTAAAGACTATCCCATCTTCGTTGGGATAGAAAAACATACTATACACCTAAACTTTTTGCATGATAATACATTCAGTAGTTTTTGAGATTATTGCAAACATACAGTCAGGTGCAGTGGGTGGTTTTGTTTTATAGTATATATATACAAACAATATTGTGTGTAAGTTCTTGTCATGTCACTAAAATAGTTTGAAACTTAAAATAACTCCACCTACTACCTCTTCTTCTTCCTCCACCTCTACCTCTGCATTCGTTAGAGCATATGTAAGTGTTGACATTTTAGAACTGTGTATAAAAAATATCATGACCTGGTATAAAGTATACCTCAGTAAATATAGTGTCAATGTGTACAATGGAGTCTCCATTGTATATTTACTTATGTGTATGCCTCTCACTTCCACCAAGCTATAACGCGCGGTGTATAACAGTCTGATACGGTACTGATATGACTTTCTGTATATTGATATTTTTGTTAGCTTAAAAATAGTTTATTTTATTGTACAGTATTAGTTTTTTCTATAATTGATTATTTTTGTATAACCCTAAATTTTAGCCTGCTTGGTCATCAGCTTCTTCCTTATCTTATTTATTTGGGGTCGGCGTAATAACGTTTGTCTCCTTGATCTATTGGAAAAAACAAGACACTCTTGTTTTTTTAAGGGTCCTTTTTTTTCGACAATTAGGATTAACAAATGAATATAAAATGTCGACTGGAAAAAATATTTGAAAAATCTATTTTGTATTAAATATAAGTAATAATCGTTTTGGGCATTGTCGATTATTTCTCCACATACAGCTGCGAGACACATTCAGACAGTAATTCTGGCTCAACTATAAAACTAATTGATTTGGTGTGCCAACCTCATCTAAGTGTAGGTTAGCGTTATAGTAAACAGTAACGAGTTATTTTTAGTGGAAACAAACACGCACCAGTCACGACCGAGGTCAGAACAATATGACATTTGACATTGCGGATCAATTTCTCAGATTAGCTGGGAACAACGGGGAACGTAATTGTATATTGAATTTATTTATACCTAAGACTCATAAATAGAATGAGGTAATCTTCGTGTAAACACACGAAGGACCACTGACATTAGAAAATAAATAGAAATAGAACTAATCTTTGTTCAAATAGACTTAATATAAGCACTTTTGAATAGTCACATTTTTTTATTCTCTCTCATTCGGAATGGAAACTTATAACAAGAAAAACGAGCAAGAATTTCGCGTGTTACTCTTTTTAAATAAATAGTTGTTCTAAGTAAATACACATTAACAAGGATTAGCATACAATATAAAATAACACCTGTAATACACATTAAGGGAAGGCATTGTAATGGAGAGTCATCATCATGTCAGGTTAATCCCCATACGGTTCTCGATTGATCGGTCTCCTAGAAAACATCGTGATTATTGTCTATGAATCCATCACGATGAGCTAACTGCAGTGACTGACTTCATCCTCATCATATCATCTTACAATGGTGCCTATAAGCTATTGGGGCACCATTCCATATTTATAGAATCAAGAACGGTGGTACTATTCATGCGTTGCCTTTCATAAAAGCTACGGTATTGTGTTTGTTGTTGTACGGTACTGTATTGTATTGCCCTTTCAACCAGAACATAGCGCTACAAGCTATGCGTGATCTTCAATATACTTTTTCTACCAGAGCATATCCCTTAAAGAACTTTATTTTTCTAACTGTTTCTACCATCCGGTAAGTACTTTACGGGATAGGTAAGACAGAGTTAGGTTATATGCACAAAGTCTTATTCTCTTAAATGAACTCATTGATAAACATATAATAAAGTTTAATAACTACAAAGTACTGCCCAGAACTTTCAAGTAACTAGTAGACATAATAATACCAAAGATGGTAATCATTCATGCTTTCACGTGGTCATGTCGTTGACATGAATATGAAAGTCGGTCCTTCTGACTGCGCAGTCGCAATGATTGACTGTAATGGCCCCTAGTATATCAAAGGCTCTTACTAGGCATAGAGCGGTGGAGAGAGGTGGTAGAGAAGACAGTTGGTGGATATGTACAATCAGGACCACGCAGATCTTAGAGTTGAGGCTGATTTTTATTCTATGTATATTTATATTCAAATTGTATGTCCCTTTGTTGTTAGGTAGCTATTCAAAGTTTGACAGTAATATATTTGCTGCACGTACGTATTTCAAATAAATCCAAATTAAATAGGGCACTACCTTGAATATTATCTAATTTAATTACTGTTATTAGAGTTGAAATTTACAATTCGTTAGTTTGTTCACAATGATTTGATGAAATTAAATAATGTTTTGACAATCTGTACTTTCAAACGTTGCTGTTAATATAATAAATAGTTCACCCGTCACCCAATACTGAACAATAAGAAATCTACGGTATACTTATTTCTTTTATAAAACAACATTATAATGTTTTGTTCTGAAGGATAATCTAATAGAAATGGACTTTTGACACAACATGTAAGTATAACGTCATAGTTTTCAGGACGTCTACGTGGGAACCGCTGTCTCGCTTATTTCAGCCAAGTAACTTGATTTGTAATCTGTGTTTCGGTTGAAGGATGGATGAGGCAGTAAATTACAGTATATGAGGGCATAACATCTTAGTCCTCTGGAATAAGAACGTATGAGTGGTATCACTGGCGTCTCATGATAACGTGCTGCTGTTCATGTATATAGACGACCGTTACCACTTACCAACAGTTAATCCGTCAGCCTGTTTGCCATTGCAATTACATAAAAAACTATTTAGTCTGTGATGTTCATGGTATTGCTTATTTCTATAGCCTAACCACGTCACCGTCCCGTCATGCGGATCATAAGCTTGTTTGCCGTTCCGATCAAACGAATTTCTATTGACCGTTTATTTTAATGCTCTACATAATATATGATCGAAATAAAATATCATAGTGTGCATTAAAATTAGTATCTGTGTGACCTAGTTTCGCTTAGCGTCTTGTGCTTTTTACGTTTCTGTAACGAACTATCCATTATAATTTTAAATATACATTGTGGTAGACTTGGAGAACTTTGTCTTACCTATTTCAGGCGCCGAGCAAC